TTCCTCTCTCTTTGTAAAATTTCAGGCTAACCCCCTTTCCAAGATACGTCTGGAACGACCGCAAGCAGTTCGGCCAGCTCGTCGGCGAGTTCCAGGGCATGCAGCACCAGATCGCGCAGTCCTACACCGAGATCGCCGCCGCCCGCGCGCTGGTCTACAACGCGGCGCGCAAGAAGGAGGCGGGCGAGAACTTTGTCATGGACGCCGCCATGGCCAAGCTGTACGCCAGCCAGGTCGCCGGCCGCGTCAGCGGTCTCGCCATCGAGTGGATGGGCGGCATGGGTTTCGTCCGCGACGGCCCCGCCGAGAAGTTTTGGCGCGACAGCAAGATCGGCGCCATCTACGAGGGCACGAGCAACATCCAGCTCAACACTATCGCCAAGCTGTTGCAGAAGGAGTATACCGCATAGAGAGGGCGGTAGACGCGTTTTGAGAGAATGGCGAAGAAAGAAGGTATCAAAGTTGCAAAGCTTTTTCCTTGGGAGTCGTGTAGGTTACTAGATGGCGTCTTTTGTTAGTAAAAGCGACACGATTCGGTGTTGGGGCGCATTGCCTCGCGAATGATGATTCGTTAGATGCTATATGAAACCTCATGTGAAAAGTCCCCAGGGCCTCATTGCGAAGATGCGCCGCCTGCGTGATTCGAGTCTTGGCATACCGCGATGCCTCTACCCGCTTCGTAGGACTTTGAGCCGCCTTAATTACTTCATGGCGTCAACATTGAGGGGGATTTTCGACAGGTGCTCTGAGTCGACCAGTGCTATTGATGGTTGGTATCTGTGGCCTAATCATGACAATGGCCAGAGGGCATTGTCAAGTGGAAGTAAATTGAGTCACGTTCGGCAAAATACTAGTCTGCCAAGGGCTTCTGCTCCAGGCTGGTGAAGTAGGGCCTATATTGGGTAGCGTCTGGCAGATCAAGTTGCAAATTCCTACCAACGAAGATGCAAGCTGGCATGATGTCATCCTAGGGACCTACTCTTCACATAAGAACTCCAGTGTGCAAAGTCTAGGCGACTATGAATTTTATAGTCTGCATTTCATACCTCGTACTTCATACTCCAAATCGATGCGGAACCGACTTTAGGCAATTCCTTTGGCATGAGTCATTTTATGAAGTTCAAACCAAATCGCTAGATGAAATGAATCGCCGACCTTTTGTGGAAGCTAGGAGTCGTTGACGTTGACATATTTCATTCATCCCATTTTAGGCGTCCAATGTGTAAGTGCCGCGTTGTCCTGCATGAGCTCAACAGCACCTTACACGCTTCGCACCAAACTTCATACCAGAACACAGACGCCAATTAACAGTACACAGACCAAGGGGAATTTGACTGGAATGTGATTCGAGGAAGGCATTTACGAAAAATACCCAAACCACTACGCGATGACATGTCCGAGCGGTCATGATTGGCTTCGTCGCCTCTCGATGATCTGAATAGCGACGATGAGAGGCATGAGCGAGAGAAAGTTGATCGGCTTGAGCCGCAACTTTCCAAGCCATTACTGATCCGAGGTCGGGATAGAGATACGGATACAGTAACGGATTACAACATCCCACCTCGTCGCTCGGGAGGTTTCTCTGGCATTACGCGGACCGGGTGGGTTGGGGGAAGGGGGCCACCTTGGACGGCGGCCGCGGAGCGAGGGTGGGTCGAAACGGTTCCGCGACGTCAAGCCCTCGAAGTTGGCGGGTTGGAATTACGTGTTCTCCCACCCCCTCGGATAAGTCATAGTGGTTGTTGTCACTTGTGTTTCCATGGCTGGCATTAACCTCTTGAGTATGCATTTGGCGGCTCAATGTGCTCCAGTGTGCTTGGTTCAGCTGAGCCGCGTGTAGTGGTTGACAGTGAGTGAGCTGCTTGGTTGGTAAGTTTGTTTCAGGTAAGCGTTACAAATGACATGCTGAGCCGTGGTTTGGAAGTTCCGTTGATCTTGTTTATGATTGGGACGAGAACGATAGGATGAGAGGTGACTTTTGAGGAAGTAACAGGCGGTGACCCGGATTCGGGGTTGATGGGCTAGCTATCCACATTTTCCTCGTCCGGAAGAGGTAGGTCAACTGTTGTCAGTTCGTATTCAGAAAAAGGGGACCCGCGTGTTTGATTATTTATCGAAGTTCGTCGGAGGTGTGGGTGAGAGATGGTGTGTGTGCGTGTGTGTGGAATCTGGGGGAAGATTTGTGGTGTTAGTGCCTGGAGTAAGGGCTGAGGACTTGGCCGTCGGTGTGGCGCGGCGTTGGGCCGGAAAGGCCGGCCGGCAGCTGTGTGGTGGCGGGAGGGGCATTTTGGCGAGACCTCTCCGGCAGAGGTGTCAGCCGGGAGGCTAAGTCGGCCGGTGGTAAAAACCCCCAAATCGCGAGGTGGGCGGTGGTGTATAGAGCTCTGTGGCGATGGCGTTGGCGAGGAGGCCTCTTGGATTGAGGAATCTGTCAGATGCTTGAGACGTTTGCTGGTGGTGGAGAAGAGCATGACGGGCATCTCTGGTGTATACTGAGAGGTAGAATGGTGAATATGGAACATTGGCATGTGCTCGGTATCGTTCATGGGATTATCGGCTTTTAGAAGCAACTTGGATGAATCCTGCGTAGTCAGCGTGAACCTGGGATCATGCGTCCCATTGTACTTACTGTACGAAAAGTAAATAAAACAGACTACCTAGAGCAGGGCTAGACGTAGAGACGGAAGACGGGAGACCTAGGGCTGCATCATCAGATCATGGCAAGGTGACGGGCAGCGCGTGTGTGAAGTGTGATTTGTGCGTGGTGGTCGTGATGGGGGATCGGGCGATGATGCAGCTGCTGCAAGCCCGGCGACTGCGAGGATGGGCCGTGTTGGGAAAACTGGGCCGATAAACTCCCCGAGACTTGGAGATGGTGGTACAGGTACCGTCCGCTTTATACAATGCCATACAGTATCCGTGCCTCCATAAAGCAAGATTAGTGCTTCAGCTGGGCGGTAGAACCTTATCAACACTGACTGCCAGGCAATGTGTATAAGTGACCATGACGTTGCGTCTCCTTGATGTATGGCCCATCGGCGAGAAACTGGGCTCATTGGAGTTCGTCTGGAGAGACAGACAAGAGTGTGGTGAAGTGTATGTGATGAGAGAGAGGTACTGTGTGGATATATCCGAGAGTGGGTGTACAAAGGTACATTGTCCATTGTATCATCAGCTTAAAGTGACAAGAGCGAGTCTGAACCCGGGAAAGCAAAATGATTGGCGCAGAGCAGAAATGAATCTTCACCACGGTGAAACAGTACGGTACCTAGGAAAAAAGTCCTAGGAAAGCCTTGGAGCCCCACGTCCGATCCAGGACTTTTTGCAGGTCGCTAGCTCTGCGAGTTTTTGTCTTCCCCTCTGTGAATCTGCAGGGCGCCGCCACAAGTTGTTGAATTGTTTCATTGCCTGCCGACTATTTGGCTGGTGACACCGAGATGCCTGAGATAGGACGAATAGAAGGCGGCCGGTGTGGAAGAAACGGAACAGTCCAGCTGAGCTTTGCTGCCCTATGCGCCCATCTTCCCTGCTTTGCAAGTTGCGAGTGAGCTCGCCAGCCAGTGCGGCCTTTTCATTATCGCCTAGAATACGACATCAAACTTGTGCCATCCTAGAGCAGCTGGCCCTGATTCTAGCCTCTAGGTACATAGGTTTGCAGTTGCAGGTAGGCTGTAGCAGTGAAGGCAGGTATCCGCGCTGGCCTTACCTTACGGATACTGGGCATGGATACCCGCATGGGAGAGGGACAAACCTGGTAAGCGCACCCGCAACGAGTGTTGTTGGGCATCAGAGGAAATGGAGATGATGAGACGCCGATGGATCCCCCCGAGGATGGTCGAAATAACATTGCGGATATCTTTGATGATCTTTTGGCCTTAGCTACTGACCCTCGGATCTGTGGGATTGCAGTGGCACGAGTGGTAAATGATGGGAATATGAGGGCAGGCAAAGTAAGGTGCCTTAATTGCAATAATCGTCTGAATGTACCTTGTTTTTAGCTCGCCTGCCATCTTCACATCGAGTTACAGAGTTGCCTCGTCCGTGCCGGGTGCTTTCGTAACACCCCTCCATCACGGCAGGAAGCACCTCAGGCAAGGCAGGACTCGCTGAGGTCGTCCCCCTCCCTCCCCTCCAAAAGAGGTACGTACCCAATACCTCAGGTAAGGTACCTTACCTTAGGTAGCAGTAGGTATTTCCCAATTCCCGTGCACTCAGAGCGGGCAGCCCAAAGGCAGGCCGCAGCTCGGGGATTCAGGACTTGAAGTGAAGGTCGAGGAATACTTTGTTTTGCAAGTATCTTTTCGACCTGACGACACACAAAAAATACATCATTTCCGGTACCCCGTCCTCTCCCGCTGCCCACCGTCTCCTCGTCCTCCCTCACCCACCTCCACTCTGCCCGCCTGCGCACTGGCGGCCGCGAGAGAAAGAGAGAGAGCGACCCCTCCCGAGAAACCCCCCGTCTTTGCGTCCCGTCCTGCTCCAAAACCCACTGACGACATCCTTCACCAACAGCCCAACCTGCGAAAAAACAACACCACCTCACGACTCGAGGGCTGGCTGCACCCACCGATCTTCTGTCGTGACAGTTCCGACAGACCGATCCTCCCGCCGTGCCAACCTACCCCGAGCCCCTCCGGCGCCGAATCTCCGGTATTCATCCATACGCATACTTCGCTACTGAACCTCGTACCCATCTCTTACCTACCTACCTCGCTCTCGATCACCCTCATCCTCTCTCCTCGCGTCGTATCCTATCAATACCATACCTCGCACCCACTACCTCGCCCACCACCTGCGCGATATTGCGGTGACCACAACAGAGCGGGCGAGAGAATCTGCGTACACTACACCTGAACGCATCAGTCCCTCAACTAGGGCTCTTCTTGAAATCTCAAGTAGCTTCAAAGCTCATTCTTTTCCCCTCCAACCAAAAAAAATATCAACATCAACACAACACATAGTTCCCGCGCGTGGAGTCGCGCAACCCCACCGTCACAATGAACGACGAAGATGCCATCCAAAATATCCTCAAAAAGATTGAGCGCGAAAAGGCTCTCCTCAACGCCGCCAATGCTATGAGAGCCCAGACAAACAACGAGGCCGTGCGATCACGACTCGATTCCCAGATGCGCGATGGTCGTCGAAACCTGCAATTCTTCGAAGAGAAGCTTCGCGAGGCACAGCTGCGTCGGGGTATGGACAACATGTCCATGGGATCCCCCTCCGGTGACGGTAGACCTCTGAGCGGCGACGTTGAGGATGCGCCCGCCCCTCCCCCCAAGGATGCGAATGCCTGGGCAGAGCGTGGCGGTTATGGTGCCGGGAGCGCAACGTCGGGCGGCAATGTCCAGTACAGCCAGATTGGCGGCCACGCCGACCTGATGCCTCCCCGCCATCCTTATGCCAATCCAGGCCCCTCTTCCTCCATCCCTAAGCCGCGCCCCAACTTCACCAAGCTTGGTGCGCATTACCCCCGAAACCTTTTCAACCAACTTGAGTTGCTGATTGTCCGCTGCAGATCTTATCAAATATGATACCCCCTATCTCGGCCCTCGTATTCAGCTCATGCTGTCGCAGATTCAGTTCAAGCTCAACGTGGAGGAGCAGTATCTCAAGGGAATCGAGAAGATGGTTCAGCTATACGGCATGGAAGGAGATCGCAAGAGCAAGGCTGATGCTGCCGCTAGAAGAGTTGAGAGCAAGCAGAAAATTCTTTTGTTGAAGCAGGCTATGAAGCGCTACGAGGAGTTGCACATCGACATGGATACATCTGATGCCCAGGATGGTACGTTTTGGAGCTTTTATGCTCGCGGAAAGCTGTCTCGTCGGACTGCTCCTGCTAACACTTCCTAGATGACTCTATCAATATGCCTAATCTCCGCAAGCCCCTCTCTGGCCAGCTCACCATTCGTGTCGGACAAATCAAGGACGTTGATCACGCATCCATGAGTCGCTTTAGCCGAGGACCCGAGACTTTCATCGCCGTCAAGGTCGAAGACAACGTCGTCGCCCGCACGAGAGTGACCAGAACCGACAAGTGGGAAGCCGAGTACCATACTCTTGAAGTCGACAAGGCGAACGAAATCGAACTTACAGTGTATGATAAGCCTGGCGAGCATGCCATTCCTATTGCCATGCTCTGGGTCAGAATCTCCGACATCGCCGAGGAAATGAGAAGAAAGAGGATCGAAGCAGAGATCAACAGCTCTGGGTGGGTGTCGGCCGACCGTATGGGTGCTCCGCCGGCGCAATTCCCAATGAACCCTCAACAGCAGCAGCAGTCAATGGGTGGTCCTCCCCCCTCTCCTGGCGTTGGAGGACAACAAGGTCAACAAGGACAGCCTCCCATGGCGAACCCTCCGATCGCTCAGCAGCCCATCGACGGCTGGTTCAACCTCGAGCCTGCTGGTCAGATTCAACTATCCTTGGGTTTCCTCAAGCAAAACAACGCTCGCCGCCCCGTCAACTTGCAAGGTCTCGGGCGTGTGGGTGCTGTTCGTCAGCGCAAGGAGGAGGTTCACGAGATGTACGGACACAAGTTTGTCCAACACCAGTTCTACAACATCATGCGCTGCGCTCTTTGCGGAGACTTCCTCAAATATTCGACAGGCATGCAGTGCGAGGACTGCAAGTACACTTGCCACACTAAATGTTACTCTAGCGTTGTCACCAAATGTATCAGTAAGAGTAACGCTGAAACTGATCCGGACGAAGAGAAGATCAATCACCGCATCCCCCACAGATTCCAGGCCTTCTCAAACATGACAGCCAACTGGTGTTGCCACTGCGGTTACATTTTGCCTTTTGGCAAGAAGAACTGCAGGAAATGTGCGGGTAAGTTTGCGAGAAGTACCAAACGGGCAAACTAAAGACAAAGCTGACTTTTGAATAGAATGTGGCCTCACAGCACACGCGGCATGCGTACACCTTGTTCCTGACTTCTGTGGAATGTCAATGGCCGTGGCGAACCAGATTTTGGAGGGTATCAAGTCTACTAGAATGATCTCCAAGAATAAGACTTCCACGTCTTTGAGCGATCGGACACTGCGGCAGAAGCCGACAAGCCCAACTAGCACTATCGGCTCTCCTCATAGTGGAGGTCAGCCGTATGCTGGAGGGTCACCGGAGGCAACTGAGGCTGCCAAGTTGATGTACCAACAGCAGCAGCAGCAGTCTCCGCCTGGCCAGCGACCAATGCACCCTGATCGCACTTCTTCAAGCACGGCAGCGGCGGCGGCAGCGACGGCGGCGATGAGCGGATCAATGGCTTCACAGCAAAAGCCTCAGTCTCAGGACTACTCAAGTTACGGTGGACGGCCTGGTTACCCGGCTCAGGCAGAGCAACCAGACTCGTATAACAGCGGCGGACCCAAGTACAACCCGGCAGACTACGCGCAAGTCAACCAGCAAGCTGGATACGGCCAACATCCTCATGCGCAACAGCAACAACAGCAGCGACCTGTTCAGCAGCAGCCGCCGCAGCAGCAACAGCCTCCCCCTCAGCAGTACCAGCAGCCTCCCCAACAGCAAATGTACCAGCAGTCGCCCGTCTCCTCGCCTAAGCTGCAGGAGCCACCTCAAATCTCACCCATTGCATCAACTGGGGGTGTTCCTAGCTCTGGCGCTGGACGTAAGCCGTTGCCTTCCGCCACCGATCCTGGAACTGGTCAACGTATCGGCCTCGACCATTTCAACTTCCTGGCTGTGCTTGGCAAGGGTAACTTCGGAAAGGTCATGCTTGCGGAAACGAAGCGATCCAAGAGGCTTTATGCTATCAAGGTGTTGAAGAAGGAGTTCATCATTGAGAATGACGAAGTGGAGAGCATTCGCTCCGAGAAGAGAGTATTCCTTATCGCCAACCGGGAGAGGCACCCATTCTTGACAAACCTTCACGCATGTTTCCAGACTGAGACCCGTGTGTACTTCGTTATGGAGTACATTAGCGGTGGTGATCTCATGCTGCACATTCAGCGAGGCCAGTTTGGCACTAAGCGAGCGCAGTACGTAACCCCTCGTCCATTTTCGCCAAGACATTGACTGACCAAATCCTAGGTTCTACGCCGCCGAGGTTTGCTTGGCGCTCAAGTACTTCCACGAGAACGGTGTCATCTACCGTGATCTGAAGCTTGACAACATCCTTTTGACCTTGGACGGACACATCAAGATTGCTGATTACGGTCTTTGCAAGGAAGACATGTGGTTCGGCTCGACTACTAGCACCTTCTGCGGCACTCCAGAGTTTATGGCACCCGAGGTATATTGATTCACCTTTCTTTACAAGACTCCCGCTGACTGTTGGTCCAGATCTTACTCGACAAGAAGTACGGCCGTGCCGTTGATTGGTGGGCATTTGGTGTCTTGATATACCAGATGCTTCTCCAGCAATCACCCTTCCGAGGAGAGGACGAGGACGAAATTTACGATGCCATTCTTGCTGACGAGCCTCTGTACCCCATCCACATGCCCAGAGACTCCGTATCGATCCTTCAGAAGCTCCTGACCAGAGAGCCCGACCAGCGTCTTGGAAGCGGTCCCACGGACGCGCAGGAGATCATGAACCAACCGTTCTTTAGGAACATCAACTGGGATGATATCTACCACAAGCGCGTTGCGCCGCCTTTCATGCCGCAGATTAAGAGCGCGACCGATACCAGCAACTTCGATTCTGAGTTCACAAGCGTTACACCTGTCCTGACCCCTGTCCAATCAGGTATGTATATCTTCGTTGTCATCACGGATATATCAGCAGCTAACCAGACTATAGTCTTGTCGCAAGCCATGCAAGAAGAGTTCCGTGGTTTCTCTTACACTGCCGACTTTGACTAGAGTCATGATGGAAACTAGATTGAAAATGAGCCCTGGATGTTGCTGGATCCTTTCAGTGACGTCTTCGATGAGGGTGAGAAGGAGGGAGAATGCCGAGCGGGTACAGCGTGGATAAGCGCCAGCTCTATGTGTGCCATATAGGCATGTCCAGCACGAGCGATGCTTGTTGATGCTGCGTGAAGACGCTGCGCGTCGTCGGGGGTTGTGACGATAAACCGCAGGCGGAAAAAACGAAGTGATGGGCGAACACGATATATGAAGCAAAAAGTAGTATGGCCCCGACTGTTCACCAGTGAACATTGGAAAAAGGGGCCAAGTCGGCGGAACCGTGACTAGAGGTATATCAGCGAGGTTTTGCGCCACCCCTGCCGCAGCTTCTTTAATAGACGGAACATTCAGCGGATGACAAGATTGCTCGCCCCGTGTGTCCTGAGGATCGATGTGGTTGTTTTTTGTGCCAATATCGAAGAGGATGTTTCCCCCATGCTCTCTCTATATGGTATCATATTGTACAGATGTATTTACAATCACGTTCTAGTGGTGATGTGATGTTCATTCTCTCTTCATGTCCTCCTCACCAGCAGCAATGCCAGAGCTGCCGCGAACGTCGCCCCAGCGGCAGCGCCCTCGAGAACCAAGACGGACGCATCGCGCATGCGGAGATCGATGCGGCGCTCGCTGTACAAATCGGCGATTTTCGCCTTTAGGAGCTCCGGGTCGGCGAGGAGCTCGCGCCATGATTCGCGCCATGATTTCGCCTCGGGGACTTGCGTCTCCAAGACCTCGAGCGCACTCGCGACCTCGCGCTCCATCTCGTGCTGGACGGCCGGCTCCTCGACCTTGGCTGCCAGAAGCTCCTCCGCCTCCTCTGCTGATGTGGGTTCCGCCGCGGCCAGTGGCGTCTCTTCCTCTACTGCCACGACGGGTGTTGTCGTCGCCGCCGTTGTGGACGCCATGTACGCGGCTACATCATCGGCCGTGGCGGCATCCTCGTACGCCTCCCTCTGCGCCAACGCGGCCTTGAGCCCCGCCAGCTCGGCCGTCACGCCCTCGAGCACGGCTTTCTCTTCTTCGACGACGCCGCGTACCAGACGTCTGCGCTTCCACGGCTCCGCGACGAATTGTAAGACGATGAAGAGGAGCACGTTGACGCCCATCAGGCCCCATGTTCCCCAGGTCGACGCGCGCCGGATGCGGTCTGACCAGATCTGTTCCTCGTGGTAACGCTTCAGGATCCCCGCGTTGAGCTGCTGGCCCAGAGCTTGCTCCGCGTGTTCTGCGTCGGTCAAGGCTTCGGACGCGGCGGCGACTTCTTGTTCGAGGGAGTGGTCTTGGCGGTAGAGCTGGGTGAAGCGTTCGAGGTCGGTGGGCGACCACATTTCCTTGCGCGCGAGGAGGGTTGTGACTTCGCGCTGGGTTGTCGCGCGTTTGGCGTTTGTGGTTTTGTAGGTTGTCCGGGCGGTGCGGACGAGGTCTTGGGCCTGGGCGAGGCGGGTTTCGAGGAGGGCGTTTTGGCGTTTGATTTCTTCGATGGGGGCGTAGCCGGTCAGGGTGTTTAGGGTCGTCGAGGCGGTTAGGAGGCGGGTTTGGGCTGTGTCCATTAGGTGGGAGAGTTTTTCGGAGAGGGCTGGGGGGAGGGCGGTGTAGATTTTTGTTGCAGTGTCTGGGAGGGGGTCGTCGGGGGATTGGTTTTTGGGGGTGTCGGGTTTGGGTGAGGAGGAGGAGCTCGTGGTGGTGTCATTGTCTAGTGTCGAGGACGAAGACGAGGACGAGGACGAAGATGAGTCGGGAGCTGTGGAGGAGCTTGAAGTGGCTGCATCCGAGCTCTGGGTCGACGGGTCGCTGCTCGTCGTCGAGGAGGTCGAGGTCGGAGAAGCTTGCTTTGGCTCTTCCTTCGGCGGCGGGGGGGCGAAGATCGGTGGCAGATCCGAGTAGAACCGTCGAGAGGGGGGCGGCGACGACGACGACAATGTGAGGTTATGGCGCGGAGGTGGCGGAGCCGCGAGGGTCCTCCATCGTGAGAGGTGTGCCGTTCCGAGGCGGGCGTGGACTAGGCGCGACGCCGGCCTGGCGATGGAGTGCATCCTCTCCCGTTGAAGGTTTGTCGGAATACGACGATGGTGGACAGAGTAAGCCGAGCTTCTCTGTTCCTTTCCTCGACGGTGAAAGAAAGGACGGGAGAGAAAGCGGCCCAATTGGCGGGTTTGGGGGATGGGCCGAGGGTGGTTCAGAACGCACGGGGAAGCCGGGTCGGCGGACGGAGGACGGGAGGGATTTTGGAGAGAGAGGTTCAAAAGTTTGGACGAGGAGTAAGGTAAGGCAAGGTGGTTAGCTGCGGTCTTCTGGGGCGGAGCCAGTGGGCTTTTTCGGGGCTGGACTCGGCATCGTGTTGAGCGCACCGGGCGGGTCTGGCGCTGGTTTTCTGCCGGGAGAGGTTCAATTGGGGGTTTGGAGATGTTTCACCGCCTGCCGTTCAGGATGTAGAGGCTCCCGTCGGGCCGGTGCCGGGGTTGAAGGTGTGGAAAGTGGGGCGGTAGAAGGGCGAAGAAGACTGACGGCCCGGCATGTCTACCGAGCCGATTTGCACTGCTTTTGACTGAGGATCTGTTTAGCAATAGACTCATGACGAGTAACTTTTCAAATTGGCTTGGAATCAGCCTTTCATTTGACATAATTCGAGTTGACCATCATGATAGTCTAAGTGTTAGTCGAAGAACTCGTTTACATGACCTTGGCCGGTTTCTACGAAGAAGGCTCGTTGCTTCATGTTTGGTTTAGTACTTTGTAGATAAGCCTCGAGATAAAAGTGCAAGGCAAAGAAGAGTATTGAGATGAGATTGGGCGAGCTTTGACTACAAGTCCGGTCTTTCTATTACTTTTTCTTACTCTTTTTTTACTGGACAATATCTGCCATTTAGCTCATTGACTAGAAATCATGCCTTATTCTGAAAGTATCCTTGAGGTTTCTGCACCACCCGCACGTGTCGTTACCCGCAACTAAGAATGGCCCTCGACTTGGAGACTAGCCCACCAAGTACTCGCCTACCTATAACGCACTGAAGCAACTGCTACATTTACCCGGGCAGAGGCCGCTAGAGATGCGCTGTAAGGCCAACCAATTGCAAAGCAATCTGCGCTCTCAGGGTCCATTGGTCGCGCGCTGACTCGTTGCAAGGCTCCGCCAAAGCGACAGTCGGATAAGAGGGGCGGATGTCGTCACTGGAGCGGGACTAATGGTAGATTTTCCCTCTTACTCGGGCAAGTTTACTAGACAGTGGAAAGTATTACCCAGTGTTGGGAACTTGGGAAGAGTCTTACTCGCTGTATTCTAGCTTGCTTCAAGGATGGACCATATTGGTAGTAAGAAAGACCAATAGGTACAGGCAGTAGGAGGCGCGGAGTATCTCGATTCGAAGCCTCCGGCTAGATATGTACCGTGCTGTTCCACGTTGAGCATTGATGGATTTTTCTCAATCTGCATGTAAGGTACTCGCGCATGCAAGGATCTGTAAACTGAACTAAATCTGTTGGTAATCCTCCGAGCCTTTTGGTTTTACCCCTCCCCCTCCATCCAAATTTCCAGTTCCTCAAACCCTCCAAGACAGGAACACACACACACACACACACACACACACACACACTTCTCGCCCACCCACGCACCCTACTGAGAAGCATTCACTTGTATTCTCACCATCCTTCCAAGAATCGCACTCTTCGACATTTGTCTACTACACCGACACATTCAAGACCATCAAAATGGGCTCCCACGTCAGCGAAACCCCGGCCTTGGCCACGAACCCAAACTTCATCTTCTTCACCGACTTTGACGGCACAATCACCCTCGAAGACTCCAACGACTTCCTCACAGACAACGTGGGATACGGCTACGAGAACCGCCGCGCGGGCAACGTTCTCGTCCTCGAGGGCAAGAAGCACTTCCGCGACAGCTTCCAGGAGATGATGGACTCGGTCAAGCTCCCCTTTGACCAGTGCATCGAGTATCTCAAGAAGAACGTCAAGCTCGACCCCGTCTTCAAGGAGTTCTACACCTGGTGCCGCGCCAATAACGTCCCCGTCGTGATTATCTCCGGCGGCATGCGGCCTATTATCCGCGCGCTGCTCGTGCAGTGGCTCGGCGAGGAGGAAGTCGATGGGCATATCCAGATTGTGAGCAACCAGGTTGCGCCGCGCGAGGGCAAGGCCAGTATCAACGAGGAAGGAGGGTGGCAGATTGTCTACCATGACGACAGCATCCATGGACACGACAAGTCGATTGAGCTGCGCAAGTACTCGTCGCTGCCCGAGCGGCCCGTCATGTTTTATGCTGGTGATGGTGTCTCTGATTTGTCTGCTGCGCGCGAGACGGATTTGTTGTTTGCCAAGCGCGATAAAGGTGAGACTCATTTTACCCCGCCCCCGCCATCGTTCATTCTGTTTGTTGCGACATCGGCTCTTCATGGGACGTCACTGACAGGATTGATAGATCTCGTCGCCTACTGCGAAAAGGAGGGCATCTCCTTTGTCACCTTTAACGACTTCTCCGATATCCTGTCCACGGTTAAGCAGATTGTTGAGGGCAAGCTCAGCGTCAAGGACGCCGCGCGGGGACGTATCCACTAGATAACGAACGAAACACGGAACGAGGGACCTAGAAAGGAAGAGAACAGAGGCGGTATAGATACCAATAAAGCGAGGATGGGAGAACAGGGATTTTCCTTTTCTGATATTAGATATAGACATAGACTGGGTCTACGGGATATACAACGAGCAATACTACACTGTTGCGATTGATTCTGTTTTACATGTGTACAGCTTTTATGACATTGACGCGATGCCAGTATAGTTTAAAGATCCCCAATCCGGATTCTGTTCATACTCATACTCATCCAGTCCATGATTTTAACGCCAATTTCCAAAGTACTTGGAAGCCTGGGATCTTTCCTGCCATCCCAGCCATATAATTTGTGGTATACGGCCAGACACTCTTAGTTTTTGGTCGTTGGGATCTACCCCATTTACCACGACTTCTGTGAAGCATTCATACGCTCCTCTTCCTGTCATGCGGCACACCATACCACGAAGCCATCATCAAGGCAAACAGCCCAATCGCAATCGGATGCAATACCCAAGGCCCAGCAGCCTGCGCAACCATACCCGTGGTAAACGGCGCCACCGCACCCCCGGAGCTTCCAAACGCACTAATCACCCCCATCCCATTCACCCTCTCCGTCCTCGTCATCCCTCTCATAAACACGGCCGCCGCACACGGGTAAATCGGCCCCAGCAACAATCCGACAATCGCGACCGACACGGCGGGGCCGACGACGTTGGGCACCAGCCACACGAGCAGCTGGAAGACCGCCGCGCCGACGGTGGCGAGGAACACGAACAGCTTCTCGCCGACGCGGTGGGCCGGGTGCGAGAGGCAGAGCCGGCCGATGGTGATGCCCGCCCAGAAGCCGGCCGTGACGTAGCCCACGGATTCCGGGTTGCCGTTGCGCGTCGCGATGAGGAAGGAGATGACCCAGCCCGAGATGGAGACCTCGGCGCCCTGGTAGGCGAAGACGAAGAGGGCGCCCAGGAGGACGATGCGAATTTTGAGGGCGGTGAACATGCTGAGAAGCTGTGAGGAGGACGAGTTCGCTGCTGCTGCTGCGGCCTCGGCGGCGGGCGTAGGTTGGGCGCCGCCGGCGGGGAGGTCCCGCTCGTAGTGCCAGAACGTGTAGGTCGAGAACACGCCGTTGAAGATGGCGAGGCCGAGGGGGATAAAGTAATACGTGCTCCACCGCGCCTTCGCAGCCGTGACGAGCGCGGTAGCAATCAAAGGTCCGACGGTGCCGCCGGCCCCGTAGGCGCCGTGCATGAAACCCAGGGCGGTGGTGGCGTTGCGGAGGGAGCCGCAGAAGACGTTGTTGACGGCGAGGGTGATGGACATGCCGAAGCCGATGAGGAAGAAGGAGACGACGACGACGGGGAAGGGGGCCTGGGCGAGGATGGGCGCGTAGGCGATTGTGATGATGGATTGGGCGAGGGCGAGGAGGCGGGCGCGGCCGAGCTTGAGGCGTAGGGATTCGAGGAAGACTGCGCCGAAGATGAAGCCGAAGGCGTTGCCTATGAAGATTAGGGACACGATTGCGTAGCCAATGTCGTAGTGTCTGATGTGGTGTTAGTCTGTCGTTCTCACGGACTCGCTGGGCGTGCTTAGGTATGAGGGGCTCACTTCTCCATGTAGGGGATCAAGGCACCCGGCGCGCTGTCGTTGAGCCCGTTGCCAAAATTCATGAGGCACGACGCGGCCATGCGGTAACGGTTCATGTGCGGGTCTGTGATGCTCTGCAGGACGTCAAAGGCCGTCGGCGTCGAGGGCCGGCTCATCTCGATATCGCTTCCGGAGCCAGGTGTCCGGGACGGCGATTGTGCCCGGGAAGGACCGGCGCTGCCCCGCGGTGTCCCGGCCCTGCTCTTGTTGTTGTAGTTGGCTGCGGTGGTGTCGATGCGGGCGAGCTCAATGGAGGAGCCGTCACGGTGGTGTGGTGCGCCCGGGTAGGTTCGCGGGACGGCCTTGGCAGGGGCGGCGGGGAGGAGGGGAGGGTGGGCGTCTAGGTCGCGGGATTCGACCTCGACGAGGGTCTTGAACATTGAGGCCTCCATGTTTGGGATCTAGGAGGGAGGGACTTGGCGGTGTTGTGTTCAGGGTTCTGGCGGGAACACGCTGGCCAAGGCCTTGGTTGAGGGGAGTGAGAGTGGAAAGTTGACAATGTGGAAGGGTGTAAAGGTTCATGTATCTGTGGGAGGAGCTAGAAAGATAAGTGAGTCACCGGGGTACCTCAGTCAGGTAGTGAAAGCTTTTACAAATACGGCAGGTAATCCGGTTAAAAGGCTAACGGGCCACCTGAGGAGGTAGCAAAAGTATACAGTAATGGAAAATCTCACGATAGTAGCAGCCACCGTGGATCCTTGACAGAACTGTTCAACTTTCCGAGAGCGTCATGGCGTGTAAGGTGTGCGAGCCTCCCTGACCCTTTCACCTTGCGGGTCGGAGGGGTTCATTATCTCAAGCCTATGAACAAGAAGCATATGCAGGGTTCAGATAGTCCTGCATGCTTCCCCACCTGGCTTTGAAAGAAAAGACGGGAAGAAAATCCTTCAAGGCTCGTGAGAGGAAAGCAGATGGGGTCCCGGTCTTGTGGACTTGCGGCCTGTGTACTCTGGCCGGCGAGCTGGAGTTGGTCTAGCCTCCTTGATGGCATTCGATAAATATCCCCGGTTGGAAACGCAGACATGTGGGGGACGGGCCGATTGCGATTGGGGATGGATTCGAGACGGTGTGAAAGCAGACGGGCTGCTGCAGCGATACGAATGCAAGACTTGTTGGTGACGACGACTGTTCTCTATCCACTTGGAAACATTGAGTCCGTATCATGAGCGAGCTGTTGTGTCACGAGCAATGATTGATCAGCGTCAGTGGCTAGAGCAAGGTGAGCACTAGGTATGGGAGGTTGGGGGGGGAAGGAAAATGGTTTCCAGATTCTGGTCTCGACTGATCGCGGGTCGCGGACCCGAGACCGCGTGGGAAAACGCAAGTTAGCGCAGCCAGGTGGTCGGTGTTCCAGTCCCCGGGGCGCGGAGAAGCTCCGCCGGCAGAAGCTCGGGTCGTTTGCGCCGGTTGAAGATGCCGGTGTTTTGCCATGCCTATACCCCGTAGCCCTTCTGATGCCTGGAGTGATACCAAATACATTGATTACATTTTCTTAAGTCTCAATGACTTAGTATTGTCTAGTTGGATGTTTCAATTCGTTTCCAAGTCTGGTGGTTGGATTGACTTAATTCTTCTTAATGGCTCTTGAGAGGAAGAACCTGAGCTTTCAAGTGCCCGGAGTACGTACTCCACAAAGTAAACATCACCCCGCCTCCATCCTCCAAAAAAAACAATCCCTAGACGGAAAAATTACCCCACTATTGTCACTCACCACCAGAAAAGAAAAAAAAGTTCCCTGATCCCATCATCTTGCTCAATCTCGAACATCGTGCCAGCCAGCCATAAACCCAATGGGCAAACCAAAGCGCTCCGCCCTTCAGGCGGCTGAAGACACTCTGACCCCTCCGGCAACCTTGGAAAAGAACCAGGCCATCGTGCGCGTCGTCAAGGCCGAGGGCAACAACCTCTATGCCTGCGAGCTGCCCAACAAGAAGGACTTTATCCTCGAGCTCGCCCAACGTTTCCGCAACACGATATGGATCAAGCGCGGCGGCTTCGTCTTGGCCGAGAGATACGAGGAGAACGACGGGCGTGTCATGGGCGAAATCATCAACGTCGTTCGCGACGAGAAGGCCTGGCGCAAGCAAGCTTACTGGTGAGCTTTTCCACACTATTCGCAGATGTACGTGCGTCTTCACTTCGGTTGCTGACTGACGAAATGCCAGGCCCAAGGAGTTTGTCAAGACCAACACGTACGAAGACAGCGACGAAGAAGAGTCCAATGTGGGCAAGATGCCGCCATCCGATTCCGAGGACGACTACTGATGCGAAATGCGACTTTTTACATGACTTGAATGTTTGCCCCTGTTCAAGCACCACCACCACTGCCACGGCATCACCGCTTCTTCGACTCCGGCTTTTCGGCCGGCGCACCTTCATCCGCCGTGCCGAGCCACGTAGCCGCCACGGTGACCGCCATCACGCCAACGACAACCTCCGAACTCAAGTCCGTGCTGGGGTAGACGTTCCACGCCCACTCCTGCGCCGCCCAGAGGATATACACCACGTAAAAGGGGAGACCGCTGCGCCAGAGGAGGTACGGAGTCGACCAGGCTAGATAGGCGTAGAACTGGTAATGGAGAGACCTGGCAAAGAGGAGGCCCATGACGTTGGCCGAGAGGATCGTGGTTAGGATGTAGCGCGGCGTCACCCGGCTGGCCACCTGGGCCTCCTCCAGCGCCGAGAAGGGGGACTTGCCCCGCAGCATCGCCGGGAGGAGGGACGACAAGGGTCTCTGCGTGGGTGTGAGCCACCGCGTCAAGGCGAAGACGAGCAGGGCCGTCGCGTGGAGTCCTAGTAGTGCAATTGAAAAGGGCTTGCTGAGGAAGGTCTCCTCGCCCACGAAGCGCCAATTGACCGTCCACTTGAAGAAGAATTGCCGTGACAGCTCAAATGCACGACCGAGGTACCCCTTGGCGTTGTTCGAGACAAAGGGGATCCCAATGACGATTTGCACCTGTGCCATGAGCCATGCCGCGCGAAGACTTCCACCGAAGCCGCGTCCGAGGAAGAGCACGATTCCCACGGCGGGGAGGACGAGTAGCAGTGACATTTTGATTCCCAAGCCCCAGCTGTATAGGATCGCGCCCGGTGTCCATAGTCGCTTCTGGAAGAAGAAGATTGCGAGCCAGAGGAAGAGGGTCGCGAAGCAGTCGTTGAAGCAGCGCAGAACAAAGACGCTGTGGAGGCGCTTCGAGAGGATCAGGAGCGGGAAGATGTAGGGCGGGACCTGGTGGCGGGAGAGAATCGTCAGCATTCAATTGTCTAGCTACCCGTAGTTCTGGAGCAGAAGCAGATGGCGTACCTTTGCTTGCCAGTAGCAGGCCATTACAACGGCAAGAGTCGCCAGGTATAGGATTGCAAACAGCTGCTGGGCCAGGAAGATGTCCTTGCCCTCGTCGGTGAGGTAGTATAGGCCCGTGTATGTGTACACGTGGGCGGCAGGGTATACGAGAGGTCCGGTGCCGCCTTTGATCTTGGTATAGTCGCGTTCGCCCGATACATATTGGGAGACCTGTTCCATGTAGGCTACCCAGTCAATTTCGGTATCTACAATGCCACAATCAGTACTCTGTCACTTTCTTTCTGGAGTTGTTCGCCGCTCACAGGGGATCTTCCAGATGATGAGCCCACATAGGACGGCATCCAGCGCAAGAAGGGCGGGTGGTATGGCTTTGGAGAGTGCGTGACGGCCATTGGCAACATCCAGCACAAAGCGAGACGCTTGCACGTAAATCGGGGGCGCTGGTTCGGCCATGGTGAGGCTTCACGGGCTGAATTGCGCAGGCTCGGAAAGCTTGGTGATGCACAGGGGAGCTTCTGAAAGCTGTCGCGAACGGCAGGTGGAGGTTGCACTCGTGGCTGCAGGGTCCAAGTTGCACGGTGCCGCCTTTGCCATCTTGGGGACAGGTCACACTGTGGTGTAAGAAGCAACTATTGTCAGATGGCTTTGGTTTGTCAATGTCAGCTTACTGTTTATTATTGCTTCTTCCAATTCTTGATTCCGCTTCATTTAAACCAATTGCCATTCAAAAACTCAAATCCAACCTCAATATGCAAAAAAAGCTACAATTTGCTCGGTCGGTCCCAGGAAAAGAGCTTGGGCTCAGTAGCCAGATTCTCCCCCTTCTCCGCCCGGATCTTGTTCACCAACTCAACAACACCCTCAGCCGTGCCATAGGACCCCTGGTATCCCCATCCAGCATGGCCATAATGATGCACAATCGGCGTGCCATCCGCCAACGTCGTCTTGTCAATCTCGAGCCTGAGCCCGCCCTCGCGGTACGGCCGCAGACCGACGCCGTGGCGGATGATGCTCAGCGCCTCGATACCCTTGCCGCCCGTCAAGCTGGGACACAGCTCGACGCACCGCTTCATGATGCGGATCGCAATGTTGGGGTCCGGGTTGGCGTCCCAGTTGCCCTTGTCGTACGTCCCGCCCAGGATCGTTCCGCCGCCCGCCGCTCGCGTCATCATGTAACACACCTCTGTCGGCCCGTCGTCCGTGCCGGAGATGGTGGCCATCGGCTCGACCTCGTTGCGCACGACGACAACCTGCCCGCGCGCGGGGATGACCTTTTTGTCCTCCACGCCGCCCAGCTTGCACGCCAGAAGCCCGGCGCTGTTGACGATGATGTCGGCGGGTTTGCCCGAGTGGTGCAGCGCCGTCAGCTCGTTGACGTGGGCTACGTCGCCGCGCTTGAAAACGACGCCGTTCTTGCGGCACTGGCCTACGAGGTACGGCAGGTAGAGCGCCGTGTTGATGCAGACCGAGGTGAACTCGGAGCCGGAGTAGGCGTTGGGCGGCAGCTCGTCCTTTGGGAGCTCTCGGTAGTCCGGGAGGACGTTGCGGTACCACGGGTCGACGGCGTAGAGCGCGTCGTAGGGGTTGCCGCCGGCCTCCATGTCCTTCTTGCGTCTGAAGACGCGGCTCTCTGGACATTAAGGTCAGTATTCTAGGGGTTTTATGCACGGTGGCAGCATTTCAAGCTATGGATACACACTTTGAAAGTGAATGCCGGCCTCGGGGACCTCGGCGGCGAGACGATTCAGCTCAGGCCACGTCCTGCGCTCCCATCTGCTGTCAAGCTCTAGGGCCATGCTGTGAATCTAGCTTTAGTTCCATGTTCCCTCGCGTTGAGGGTGGTGCGTGATCTTACGGCAGCATGTTGGCGCCAGCCCACGGCGAGGTGTACTCGATGTCATAGTCGCCTGGCATGTGCTTGGAGATTACGGTTATGGAGTTGCCTTTGCTCTTGGATAGCAGCAGGGCGGCGGTCAGGCCAGAGACGCCAGCGCTGAGCACGGTAAGTGATTGAATATTGAGATGGCCTACTGTCTGCTTACCCGAGCACAACAATATTGTTGGTCATTGTGGAATGTTCTTGTCGCGATATAAGCTATCAACTCAGAATGCTCCGATTATCTTTCAAGCAAAGTCGGTGAGTCGAGATGTATAGGTATATATATAAGTAAGTACCTTGGTGAAGGTATTGTTGGTTGCAGGCTTCTTTATCTTTGAACGTAATTGGGCACTGTAGATATGCTCAGCTTCAGAATACTATAGAACAATCAAGGGAGCGAACTTGAAGCTTTAAACATGTCAATCAACGCCTTTTGGTAACTCGCTTCTACATGTACTCACACTATCGCGCCATGTTTATCTTCCAATTGACACCATATTGTCGATACAGGGCGCCCCCTCCCCGCGGGCAAGTGTCCCCGCCCACGCCGAGCCGAAAACCGGCGCGGGGCCCATCGGTCAGGACCTTTCCTATAATTTTTTTTTATTTCAATTTTTGAGTCACATCCCGGCCGTAAAGCGGAAACCGACCGCCAAGAGCCGATGAATTCCGCTACACGTCCGCCATCCCTATGACAAATTAGTGAACATTGAAATAGATACGCTGCCGCGCTTCAAACAGAGAGACACTGTAGGCGGTCAGATGTTTTGCGCAGCCATTCTAGAGGCTGATTCCCGAGGAAAGGGTCCACTGCAATACAATCATGTATAAGAGAGTCCTTGAGAAGAATAACAACGTCTGCGTCAGATTCTCATATCAATATGCTGGGACAATAGAGCAGTCACGTCCATGTGTACCAGAGTGCAGCAGCGTTTGCGTATGTGGTTCTGCGTGACACCGTGACAGCATAGCCGAGTGGCCGGGGCTGGACAGTGCATGGCTAAAAGGTGCAGCAGCACAATTCTCAGCCTAGACATCTTGCAAGTAACTAATTGTTATATCCTTTTTTCTTGTTTGGTATCTTGAATTATGGACAGGCTCGGCACTTGGTAGCCGCCTTATTTTCTGCCTCCTCTTCTTAATGCATGCGCGTTCATTTCCTACTCCTGCTTGACCTCCTGCTTGACCTCCTCAGTTGATTCGGCGGGGGCATCGGCCTTGGCCTTCACCTTGGCCTCCAGTACGGCCTGAGCCTCTGGGCCTTCGGCGGTAGTTGCAATGGCCTTCTTGAGGGCGGGGGGGTTGGCGCCGACGATTTCCTGGTCCTTCTCCTGCTTCTTAAAGAACATGAAGGTAGGCATGGCACGGATGCCGAGCTCTTGGCTCACGTCGGGGACCTCGTCGACATCGATCTTGACAAAGTGAATGCCCTGATTCTCCGGCTTCTCGGATTCCCTGTGGGAGAAGGGTGGCGGTCAGAGACTGGTTCACGTAGCAATTTTGGCAACTCGGAAGGTTTGTTACTTACTGGGCCAGGATGGGGGCAATAGCCTTGCAAGGACCGCACCAGGTGGCAAAGCAATCAAGGAGGACAACGTCGTTGTCCTTGAGGGTCGCCTTCCACTCCTCGGCGCTGAATCATGGACAAAGTGGTCAGCATCATGTCCAAAGTTGTGGCAAATCCTAGTGTCGTATGGAGTATGCAGGTTGAAGGCCGGGATAGAAGCGTGGACGGGTAGGCTGACACTTACTTGCGGACGTTGTGAACAACCATGTTGGGCGATGTAGAGTGGAAGGTTCGATATGTGGTAGAAAGTGAAGATGTCGCGATGCGTTGAAAAGGGCGGAAGAGTCTGGTAGACATGTGGGATGGTAGGAGGGGCACTTGGGCGGTGACGTGGGAGGAAATCAAACTATATACCTCGGAGGGGGGGAGGAACGCGTGTGGTTGGGCAAGCAATGGGCGACTGTCTGATAGTGTAATGCAGCAGAAGTTGACGGGAGCAGACCTGAGAAACGGGAAGGGGAGCTCGGATTTGGTGCTTCCCAGTTGTGTGGAATGCGCGTTACCGGTAAGGTACGGAGTACGGAGTACGGTACCTAAGGTAGCGAGTAGCGACATGGACGCTGCTAGTAAATTTCCTTCTTTGATTTGTCAGGGGTACAGGGGATCGATGACGCGAGATGCGTCCATCCGCGGGGCACCAGATACACATATACTTGTGTTCAAGCAGTAGTTCCCATACAATCACAAGTACTGTTATCTCGGGTCTGCTTCCTGTAGGTACCCCTCCGGGTCGCTGCCCCTTCCATTTTCTTCCCCTGCTGTAATACCTCAGGCGAGGAGGTAACGGCTCGGCCGTCGCGTGGCAGTCAGCTCGGCTGTCGCTGCCCGCGATGATTTCACAACGCACCTTCCAGATTGCCTTAAAACACCGATAGGTCTCTCGTTACAAATTGCGCCTTTTGGCCCATTGCCTTGCTGATTGACCCCAGGTCGGGCATTCGATCCTGGGAAGACGGCGATTACTCGGTGACCCGTCGCCCCCATCTAGTTAGTTCATCCTTTGCCGAACCTGGTGCGATGCCGTCTTCTGAGGCTGAATAATCCTTGCTACCTAGTACCGAGTCCCGTTGCAGATCACAACGTGCAACGCCCTACTCCTGCATGACAAAGCCGCATTGTACCTTAGTCAAGGCGCAGCGGCAGCAAACAATTACACAAAGCCATCTTCGACCGATTTCCAACTTCAAGCTGTCCCCAAAACGCCTTTCAATCATCGCCACGTACTGAACAATTCAGCAATGCTAGTGTATCCCAGGTCCCGGGCCAGCAAGCGTGGCGAGCCATCGAGGGTTTCGCGGTCGAGGCCTTTGGCTACACCAGACAGGAGATCAACCAGCTCCAACCCACAGTCTGTCATATCTGACCGAGTTGCCTCCAGTCGGCATTCTTGGTCTGGATCCGCTCCTCTCTCCAGAAGTAGTTTCACCGTGGCCAAATCCCCCGATGCGGTGGCGATCATCAAAAGAGTTACGCCTGCCTCATTTTTCTTTCTGATATCGTCCAGCGTCACTCCCGAGATCACCGTTCGTACCAAATCGGCCTTTCCCCAGAAGCACATAAATGGCAGAAAGTCCCTAGCTGAGAGATCCGAATCATCCTGAAGTCTATCCATGGTCATCAGGAGCCAAAGGCTAAACCTCTCATCCGTGGCGATGACTAAAGCTACTGCTTCAACAAACCTGCGTCGAGGTAAACGGACTCCTTTGGCTGCGAGTAGTAGAAGTAGCTCGACATTCTCTTCAAAAGTGGAACCGAAGTGTGGCACGTGTATGAATCCATCGTACAGTTTCCGTCCAGAGCCTGCCGTTTTTTCCACAACCTTGAGGTAGAAAGTCTTGAGCTCAGTCCCTGTCTGGGTATCATAAAAGGCCAACAAAGCCTCCTCGAGGACCTTTTGGGTATGGACAATGGCAATTAGGAAAAGTTTCGCCATCGCTGGGTAACCGATAGAGCAGCAAAGACATAGAACCTCTCTGCTGTCCTTTGCCCCTTCGTCAAGTAGTTCCTTGATGGCCGAGGAGTCATTACGATATGCGGCTTCCAAAAACCCCACTGATGGATCCATCTCTGTAGCGGCGTCCTTGGGGAGATACTTCAAAGCCACCGCACGACACCGCGGATATCCTTCTTTTGTTGCTTGTATCAAGGCTTCCATGAGGTTTTCATGGCTGTCCTCTTCTCCAGCATTGTGAAGCACTAGAATCTCCAATGCCTCATTGTGCCCCCAGCGAGCAGCATACCCAAAATCCTCCCTTTGAACGATCAACCCCCGCTCCAAGAGGTATTTGAGAGCAGACGTGCTGTGGATAGCAGACTGCGTGAGGGACCAAGTACTCGTTGGGGGGCCTTGAACTGCTGGATTGATATCCATCCCAGTTGCCAGCAACAAGTTGATGACTTCCATTCTTCCCCACTCAGACGCGATCGCCAAAGACTTGTGAAGTTGAAGAATTGCATGACTGTATTGACGGAGAATCCAGCGAACCTGATACACGGGCCTGTACACTCCTTCGCATGATTTGTACAGAACATCGTTGTCATTTGCGTCGCGTTGCTCAACGTTGGACGTGCCCGCCTCAAGCAACCCTCGCGTGGCGACAAAGTCGTGCCTCATTGTCGTGTAGTGCGCATGATGACGACCCGCGTAGCCTTCCCACACATTTCCAGCATAAAAGAAATCTCTTTCAGCGTAGAAATACCACCAGCCACGAAAAAGTGGCTTCGAAGAATCGCAAATCGTTTTCACGCTTAGACCAATGCTGGACTTGGACTCGGGCAACGAGTTACCTCTGAGGTGTCTTGCCCAGTGCTTTGAAGCGTACATGTAAAAGCTTCTGACCCAGCAAGGCAAGTCTGCCATGAAAGTTTTGTTCGAGGCGACTCGCTCCTCACATTCCATCGGTAGACTGGGTCTCGTCGGTAGTCCATCGAGCGCGAGGAGTCTGACGCAACTTCCGCCCAAGTGAGACTCTGCCAACGCCAGTCCGATCCTTGCTCTCCCCTTCTGTCTCGTAGCGTCTGCTCTAGAGCCAAGCAGAAATTCGCGTGCAGTTTGGTGCACTAGAAATACTGTAGAGTCAATGATTCTGATGAAGAATCCTCCTAGCTGCTTGATCGTATATTCTGCGTCAGGCTCGAGCTCTCGTTCGAGATCTTCCAAAGAAGTAATATGTTCCTCGAAACCAAGAAGGATATTGACCTCTTCTAGCTTTAGAGGACGATTGGCAGCTAATATGATTCCGAGTAACTTATGTGAGGCTTCGTGGTCGGCAAAGGCTGCCCAGGCACTCTCGTAAAGCTGATCAAGGTCGCCTGGTAAGGAACTCAGGGATTTCTTAATGGAACTGAGTTTCCGCGACTGAAGTCGCTCAATGGCATCGAAAACCAGTGATACCCACAGGAACGTACGATCTGCCCCTTCGGTCAGAGCTTTGATGACCATTGTGCTAGCATCCTCGGAGAGCGCGGACGACATTTTGAGCTCCCGCACACGATGCTCGACAACTCTTTCCACGTCTTTGGACAGCGACGATGATTCATTCTCCCCTCGCAACCGGATTGAAAGCAAGTTACGGAAGCGGCTCTCAATGCTGGGCCACGGCCGACTTGTTACAAGGAACTTTAGGTTGCCGACAGGTTTCTCGGAGTTGCTGGTTGAGAACGACCCGACGAGCTGGCTGATGAAGCGATTCCTAGACTCATCGGAGCACTCATCTAGGGCGTCGACGATGCAGATGATCTTGCGATCGTGGAGACGGCTGGCAGAGGTGTGAAACACCGCCCAGAGCGCTTCAAGATCCTTGGTGAAAGACAACTTGTCCTTGCTAGAATAACCCTCCATCGCTACGTTGACCAGTTCCGGGGCGGCGACGAAGAGCTGATGAAGCAAGACGCAGAGGGCCTGGTGGGAGTCTCGGCGACTGTCGACACCAGCTTTGAAGAAGAAGGAGCACACGATGGACTGGTTTTTGTCCTGGCTTAGGGCGTCCACGAGGAAGCTGGAGAGCACCGATTTGCCGCATCCAGGATTTGCCGTTACCCAGAGAAGAGAAGACGACTTGCTTTGCACCCAATCGGTGAATTTTGGGTGACGCAAAAACCATTGACAGGTCCCTGGGACAGGCCTCTCAATACCGATCCTCTGGCTTTCGTAGTCCCCGCTGGTTGCATGGAGACTCCGCAAGCAATCTGTCGTTGATTTAGTGTCAGGTTACTTTAGGCAAGTTCGGAGAATTTGGAACTCACTCTTCTCGGAGTCTGAAAGGTCCTCTAAACGCAGTGCCGAAGCCTTCCCCGTGTGAGGTTTTGCATATTCACCCGACTCAATTTCCACAATCTTCTTGGCACATGCTGTGACGTATTTCTCTGTTGCTGCTTCTCGTAGATGGCGTTCCGTATTCGTGCGGACCATGCCCATCAACTTGTGGTTTCCCAGGTCCACGCCTCCAAGTTCGGGGACGCTGTAGCGAAATAGGAGACTGTCTTTCAACATTTCCTTATGTGACCCCTTGAACCGATTCCAGGTTTCCTCGGTTTCAGTGACTAGCTTGGTCAGTGTTCTTGCTAGGTGTATAAGGTTCCCCCTGAGAGGGACCGACGGCTTGGTGCCCGTTCCGATACTGATTAAGAAAGCCTCCCTATCCGGCCACTGGTCTCGAGCTTCTTGACGGACTTGGAAAATGGGGTTGTTGCTTTTCAACGCTCCGTCTAGATAACCGGCATTGCCACGACGGTATTCTTTAAAGTACGTTGTGGCAGCTGATGTGGCGCGGAGGGCTTCCCACAGCTGAAACTGTTTGGAGTGTTTGTCGAGTTCTTGCCTCGTTTCATACGAGCGCAGCAAAAGCAGCTCATTGTCATCTGTCTGAACCGTGGTAACGAATCTTTTTCATTGTCAGCTCAAGCTTCCGGCGGGTGCGAGTCTCGCATCCTCTTACACTTTGCCGAAACCATCCTCAGTAAAATTACTGAGGGGTGTCTTGTCGCTGCCCGTCCGTGCTTTGATGATTTCTTTGACAACACTTTCCAACTTGGATGAATCGTAGCGTTCACTAGCGGAGAAGAAGTCGACCCCACGGCTGAAGGCGTTGTATTTCCATCGTTTCGGCTTGAAAATTGTTTTTGCAAGACGAATGTACGCCTCTTCACATTCGTCGACCGTCATGCGAAGACATCCTAGCATTATAGCAATAATGCTATGGGAAACACCCGTCAGACTGCACGATTCTGAGCCATCTAGATAGGTGCAGACTGTATGCTCACCCGCCAGTACTTGTACCCCCGATGAGATCGAAGACTTGCCAAGGTTGAAGCTGGCTATTGGGATCACGATCTTGATTCACATGACGCATCAAATCTTTCAGAATCAAGATGGAGGAGAGCCCGCGGATACCCCCGCCATCTATCATGGCGCGTATATTAGTCGATAATCATAGGGATAACTGGTATGAACTGGAAAACTTACCCAAAGAGAGAAGCCGGACAGGCCTTTCAATGTCCATCTTTGCCTGGTTGCACCACAGATTGAGCAGCAAGAGTAGGACAACGGTCACCTGCGTCTAAAAAAGGTTGGGACTGCGCTCGTCATACATACCTTCAAGCCCTTTCAAGAGGGACCCAAGAAGGCCACTTGAACACCTCGTGACCGCATGAAAATGGACCATTTCTGGGAAAGACAAACCAATCATGGCGAGGCTTCAAAGCCAACGAGCGTATGCGCTCGTCTATGAGAGGCGGATCATACCACCACCCGCACTAGGCGCGGGCCGTTAGACGAGTCGAGAGGGTGTGAATCGGAGGCCTGCACGATGTTGCCTTGACGTTGTAGTGGAGACTCATCTCAGGTTAGACGTACGCCATTGGATTACAGGGGTTGGTCAAGAGGCAGATCAATGGGGGTGGCTAAGCGCCGAGACATTTCGGGCGCCTAGGTTGCCCTGTTAAGAAGACGCATTAGTCAATTTCTGGCGTTGAGAGCTCAGGACCAAGTAGGTTGGATGGCAGGAAAACTCCCCGATCTTCTTCACTCCTTGGTCCAGCTTTGCAGGCAAACACAGAAGGGCCGTCCGTGGCTAACGGGATCTAGTGTGCGGCCCGGTCCCAAGTCCCGCTACGGTATCGACCCACAAAGGCCCGGACCGGGGTTGCACGGGTGCCGCTCAATTGGGTCACGACTGTGGAGAGCCATCATCAACAATATCTAGGCTAAGCATTTGTGCCCAAGAGCCGTGTGCAGTTCTTTCATAGTGTCCGTTGAATTAGCTATGCCTATGGCGTCTGAGTACAAATTAGGGTCTAGTGATTATGGTGTCTACAAACAGGTAATTATGAAAAGAAACGAGTGTCCTGTATCCTTGTGCCCCCTTTTAAGTACCCGATCTAACCGAAAATAATTGTCATTCCCATACTCCCGGCAACCTCCCTCCACGCTTCAGCCCCCGTATTGCAGCCGCCGTTGGATTTTCCCGACGTCGCAGCAGCCCACTGATGAAGGACAACTGCACGAGCTCTCTCGATATTGATCATGCCCTGCCTACGTTCGATTTCAATGAAGGCGTACCTTGCGAGGCCCCGGTCCTGATCCGTGATAGCTTCGCAGGCTGCTACGAACAAAGGCCAGAGGAGTGCATTGACCGGTCCACCAGATGCGATGACCGCAACGCAGTTCTCTAGGGTAAGATGGCAGTTTTCCTGAACCGCAGGATGGTCGACTGGGTGGTCGTGGATCGACCGGTTAAGGTATACCAAAGCACCGTGACGATATGCCATGGAGTTGTGGACCATGGCGCGGAACGCACCCTGGGAATCTGAATCACAAAAGGGCTCAAAGTCCTCGTCTGACTGCACTGGAGGTGCCCAATCTTGGAGAGCCTTTTGGACTGCTTTGACCGTGGATTCGTACTCCATCAGAAGAACGGCGGCTTTGGCTGGTTGGTTGTTGGAGACTGCGCCGTCCAAGTCCCCTTTCAGGGATTTGAGAGTGCTGAGACGGTAAAGAACTGGCCACAGATTGCCAGTCATACCGAGAAGTGGATCAACGGGGCCGTTTTGAGCCGACTTGGACGAAGGTGATGCCATGGAGTAGACATGCTCGGTTGCAGGTACAGTAGAGACTGGACTACGTCCTAAAGAAAGGGCAGTGATCACGTCGTAAAATTGGAAAGCCTTTTCGTTAAATTAGTCTTGGCTCCAGAGAGACCTTGGAAGTCAGCACACGTACCTTTTCAAGAAACAAGATACTGCGTGTCTTCTTGGACATCGGAATCGAACTCAGCACAAGGAAGGCACTTCTCAGGTGCTCAAGAACCATATTGGTTGCTCCTGTTAAGGTGAGCTTTTACTAGTTAGCATTGATCTTTCCATGAAGGACTGTTGAGGGAAAAATGCTCACGGATTCGTAGTACACGAGCAGCATGGTTGCCGCCAAAACCTCTTCCTGTCGGCAGTTCTGCTGCACAAGTTGAAAAACACCCTCAGCAGCAAGAACTCTGTAGTTTGAAGAATGTTTGGAGTCTTGCACGCCCATATACTCAAGATGTCCCTTGGCGAAGGCACACATGGCGTGCAGGACGGGCGAGTTATCGGAGCATAGAGGCAGAATGAAACCCTGAAAAAGATTGTCTGGCTCTTCCGTGAAGACGATCAAATGAGAAAGAACACTAGAGAAATGATGAATGAGTTTCCTTTCGTGGGCGCAGTCTGTAAGGTTTGAGAATGACGGTTGCGGTATTTCGAGGCCAGACAGCAGAGACGCGATGTCGATGGTGCTGGGCTGGGATAACTCTGCGTTAAGCGGGACAAAGTCGAACCGTGAGCTACTCAATGAATCGCTCTCTCGATCAAAATTTGCGAGCTGATCAACTGGCTTGTCACAGAAGTCGAATTGGCTGAAGCTGGCCCATTCTGGTGTCTCAGGGGGTGAGTGGCTTGATGTAGAGTGAGCATCCCTTGGAGGTTCAGTGAAGCCGCCATCTGAGACAGCCTCTAAAGATCGTCTCGATTTAAAATGTTGCGTTGGAGAAACACTACGGGGAGTCTTCGAGGCTATCCCGTTGGCATGTTTGCTGCGACGTGGCTCGACAGGGTTGTAGATGCACTCCAACCCTCTCTCGGTGCAGCGTGTGCATCGAGGCTTCCGCTCGCAGCACTTTTTTCTCGCTTCTTTGCTGGGGAGGTGTGAGCAGCTACCAATCAGCCAAGGCATGAGATCACCTACCAACTAGAGCAACCTATATGTCGACACTGTCAGCTATATGTTCCATCCCGTCTTCGGTACCCGTGTGACTACGTACCTGTCCTTGCTCTCTTCTTCCTGATCTTTGGAGGCATAGGCTTTGTAAAGAGCAGCATGCTGTATGATGTGAGGATGATTTCTTGTCGGAAGAGAAGTCAATCATAGATGTATTGATGAGAGTGTGTCTTGTATTCAAACACAGCCGTCGGAAAGTGGCGCAGCTCGAGCTGACCTCAAGCACAATTTAAAGTATCTGTCTTCGGGGAAGATGGCGGAAGAGTGTGGTGCGTAAGCGATGGCAATAACCTTCTTCGAAAAGTCTTCTATGCGAACCTCACCGGTAAAAGGATCTGCAGGAAATCGCGTGCCGATATTATTGCCATGTGGGAAACATGTGGCTAAGATGCATCATGCAGGAAGAAGCGGCCCAATTCGGATTGCTTGATCTCTACCCCGCCAATTTCAGAAGACGAGGCGTACCTGTACGACTACGTTGTGAGGTTAAAGCAGGTGCAACTTGACGTTTCAGAGTCTTGTAGACAAGGATGTGATATTAACCGCTTCTCTTGCTCCGGCAAATATCCTCTCGGGGCGCCCGTCAAGCTGAAAAGTTACGATCATTACCCTCATTGGTATTGAGGCACGCAAGATGACGGCCACTCAACCCTTGCTGGGAAGGTGTGCCCGCAGGAGGGGAAAGGAGTCCTCGATCGGTTGCCTAAACCTCTTTCTAGAAGACGTCCATGCTTACACAAAAGGTCAAAGAGTCGTCTGACCAACCTCTGTTGGCTGCCACTCAACCTGCAAGATTCTGGGTATAATGGTCTCGCTATTCCCTTCCTGTCTCCAAGGTTGTATGTAACTTGTCTAGCGCAAAACTGCCAGACACGCGTGAACCATCTCTCGTGTGATCCAACATGCATGGGCATGGATCTGGAGGGACATGGTATACGTTTTAGGGACGTCAACAAGGCCTCAGGCAACTGTGCGACTGTATAATCGAGTAGAGAAGGCGTGAAAAGTTTCTCATTTGAAGGCCGCAGGCGGGGAAAGATATATCCCACCGGCTTCAACGGTGGTGATACGACCTTGCAGTGATGGCAATGATGACAATCACCGGGGAACCAATCAAGCCGTTGAGCGGACAAAAGCTGGGGAAATAGGCGCATGTTCTAGGCGATCATTCATGTCTACCCCAGCTTTCACCCCACAAACCGGTATTAGTCCAAGCCCTCCGCAATGCTCATTGGCGCGCGTCGAATCCTGATGCCAGCCACAAATCCAAGATGTGGCTCGGAAGGGAACCATTGGAGCGCAAGAGAAGGATCCGGAAATGGTGTCTACGTAACAGATTCAGCTTTCTGCAGTAAGAAGGGGGGGGCGTAGCGGGCGTTCTATGTTCCTGACTGCGCCCGTCGCGCATCAAAAAGTGTATAAGACAAATGTGGAGGCCGTGATGTGAAAGCTTTGACCCTGCGAAGTTGCATATGCGCCTGCAACCCAAGGCGCCGCGATGGCCATCGTTTACTTCGAGACAAGCTGGGCCATCTTGAGCACTATCGGCGTGGCCAACACACTTTTTGGCTTCATCATTGCGGGCATCACGGCCTTCTCGCCCGTATCACTTATACCTATTGTTGTTTCTGTCGCAGGCTCTATCGCAAATGGGTTATGTTATTACAGCTTCTATGCAGACTACCCCATCTTGAATACGGCGGTTGCGTCTGGTGTTGCGGATGTCATGTGGATGGTATGCCGCGTTTGCATTTTCTTTTCAGTAAAGGCTCAAATGGATAGACTTCAATCTAATTTAACTTCAGATTCAAGAAGCAGGCATTTCATTCTACAGCTATGCTATTCTCACCCGCGTTCTGCGCAGCCGCGACCGTATCATTTTCATGACTCTTTTCTGGATAGTGATAGGGGCCATCTTTGTTCTCAGGATGATGATACTGGTTTCCCGGGTGAAGATACTCGTGAACGGAGAGTCTGATCTAATGCCGACCATCAACGGTCTCCATGTTGGCTATTTCTCATCCTTAGCTGTGCTTGAGTGTCTCAGCGCTTTCTTCCTCCTGCGCAAGTTTGCGGCGGCAAAGTCAATATCGCAAGGGGCATCAATCGCGCCGACTCTCTTTCAGCATTTGATGCGAAGCACAGAGATCCGCCTTGCCATCCTGGCATTGATCGGAGTCACGAGAGCAGTCACCTACTTTTTTCAGCCCGCGGTTCAGCAAGCCCGGACAGTGGCAGGCCAGATCGACAGATTTGTTTACACACTTGAGTGTATGTTTCCGGTGATGATCTTGTAAGCTTTACTGTTCATTGACTTAGTTGATTTGAAGGACTAATTTCCGTTGCAGCATTGACATCCTGGCATCCCGTCTTGTGCATGAGCAAACGACTCATGAGAATTCTTCTTTTCGGCTTGCGAATAGGCGAAACTCAAGTCAAGAGCGTCTGCCTTCAGCTGGAGACAATGGAACACAAGTCGCCTCCGTATGGAGCGGTGGAAAGAGAGTAAATTTACAGGTTCGAAGGGAGTCCGGAACAAGCCGATCGTCGCTCTTCCCGCCAGAGAACGTGAGCGACGGCTCCGACAGGAGTACCCGCGATTTTGGCATGATTGATTATACTATCACCTCAGGGATCACTAAAACAATCGAGATCAAGGTCGAAAACAGTGCTCGCAAGCGGTCACAAGATGCTGCAGAGACGGGCTCTACCTGAAGTATTCCCGAGCCTCATAATATAATCACTCTAATGTTGAGCTTGATGTTTTGTCTTCAACCTACCTCAAGGTGAGACTATTATCACTTGGACAAAAATTTCCGTTGCTTTCAAAAGCAAGGTCCAGGCAGCGAAAGCGAAGCAGCGAGCTTGCAGCTGGACTACGAATATGACATCTAGGCTCTAACAACATCAACCTCAACTACGGAAGCCCACAAACGCCCACCAAATAGAGAATGAGAGCGACTCTGATCACGAAAACTATGGATGGACCCACTTTGATAATAGACTGGATTTGATTGTAATCAAGCGGGCAAAATACTTTGAGAGGCGTTGGCTCTCCACATCCATCTACGCGCACCCTTGAGCCTCGGAAAATAATGTGGCAGTCGTAATTTTGACTTAGAAGCAGAAGTATGAATACTTCTATGATATAAACAGGGCCTTCATCGAAGGCTCTGATGCTGCAAAGCCACGATCAATTTTCATCTCCAACCCCCAATGTCTCGTTGGTGATCAAGCCAGGGTAGAGACACGACATCGCCAAGCCTCATTGATTGTCCTTTGGGGCTGCCGATTACAAAACCGAAATGGTCTTACCGAAATCGAGAGACTCAAGAGGGGTTACAAAAATCCAAGGTTACATTGCAGCTCAGGTTTTGCTAAACGGACCCATGATCTACCTACTCGGCCTTCTTCTACATCCTACCAAGGCGTTCGGGTTCAAGTCATAGTATGTGCCATGTAGACTGGCTAGACACATGCGAGGAAACGCTACTGGCTTTGCATTGTGAATGCTTTTTCGGCGTCTATCCCGAGACTGAAACGATTCGTCATGAGGCAATGACTGTAGGGGACGAGCTCTAGTAATTGAGGTGGCTGGAGTGGGCAAGGTAGGTAAATATGTGACAACTGGTCACATGAGGGTACCTCTAATGTCGGTTATTAACAAGGCCCAGTATTATTTGTGTTCAAGTGGGTAGAGAAATAGACTTGAGCCTTTTCCGTGAAAAAAAGCTTCCGAAGATCTGCAGCGTGCCCTTCGCTGCTGGTCTGCCGAGACCAATACCGTCGCCTCTTCCGCATATCGGTGCGACCTCGTGGTACCCGCAGTAACGGTAGGATCCGATTGATGCGGTTGGTAATTGTGAATTTTATCCGCACCCGGCGTAGTGCAGGTGGACGGAGAAATACTTATGTTACACCATACTTCTGGTATAACATTTCTATCAGATAGAATCTTGCAGGCTCTAGTCGTACGATGGATAATTCTAAAAGTTGCAATCAGAATTGTATATATTACGCAGGAAAATATACTTTATCAATAGTCTTTGGACTCGTAACTCAACATCACACTACCTTCAGTTTATCAGATCAACTTGCGAATGCCATCACTCTTTCGAGGACAATCGCACTGGAAACATTCCATCACTGGAAAATACTTCTTCGTGATGACGAATCCCCACAGCTGGTGTTTGAAGCACGCTCTGCTGCTTTCTTCGGTCCTTCTTTGCAGTTTCGGCACGGTGCAAGCTGACAACCCTATTGTTCAAACGTCCTACACTGCGGATCCTGCTCCTCTGGTTGTCAATGACCGAGTCTATCTTTTTACTGGCCACGACGAGGATGGCTCAACAAACTTCGACATGAGAGAGTGGCTTCTCTTCTCCTCGGCGGACATGGTCAACTGGCAACATCATGGCAGCCCCATGAATATCAGCACATTTTCTTGGGCCAGTGCCAATGCCTGGGCCGGCCAGGTCATCGGCCGGAATGGGAAGTACTACTTCTACGTTCCGGTGACCAGTCGCGAGGGGCTCATGTCCATCGGCGTTGGTGTCAGCGACAGTGTCACTGGCCCATTTGTCGATGCTATCGGTGGCCCTCTTCTCGCCAATGGCCAAATTGACCCCACCGTGTTCATTGACGATGACGGACAAGCCTACATGTTCTGGGGCAACCCGGATTTGTGGTATGTCAAGCTCAACGAAGACATGATCTCATACAGCGGCGACATTACAAAGGTCGAGCTTACGGTTGATGGGTTCGGCGCTCGGAATGACACTACAGGGCGTCCTACAGCCTTTGAAGAAGGTCCCTGGGCCTACAAACGAGGAGATCTCTACTACATGATCTATGCAGCTGTTTGTTGTCAGGAGGATATTCGTTACAGCACGGGACCTACCATCACGGGGCCATGGACTTATCAAGGCATTGTCATGCCCTCGAAGGGCGGCAGCTTTACAAACCATCCTGGTGTAGTTGATTTCAGCGACATCTCATACTTCTTCTACCACAACGGCGCTTTACCAGGTGGAGGTGGGTTTACTCGATCTGTTGCGGTCGAGAGCTTTCGCTACCTGTCCAATGGATCTATCCCAGAGATGAAGATGACTGCTGAAGGCCCGGCTCAAAGAAAGGGCGTAAACGCTTTTGAAAGACAAGAGGCAGAATTGATTGCTTGGTCTCAGGGCATTGAGGTGGAAGTCTGCAGCGAAGGTGGTATGGCTATTGGCTTCATCAACGATGGCGACTACATCAAAGTCAAGGGCGTCGAATTCGGGAACGGAGCGGCAAAGTTTACTGCTAATGTATCATCCGCAACCGCCGGTGGTCACATTGAGATACGCCTTGACAGCTTTGATGGGACCCTCATCGGCACTTGCGCTGTTACGGGCACTGGTGGATGGCAATCATGGACGACCGTGACATGCCCTATCACCGGCGCTGAAGGTAGTCATGATCTCTACTTCAGCTTTACCGGAGAGGGAACCGACTATCTGTTGAACTTTGACTGGTGGCAGTTTGAGTAACAGAGCCGAGCACCGCTGTCTCACCTGCTTGCCAAGTAACATCAGTCAGCAGAGGCTCTACCCCGGCTGCTCTTCATGAGCTTCCCTTCCTCCTACTATACCTGGATACTATATACACACCTAAGTTAGTAGAAAAATATTGATTATTTTTTTCACCCTAGGGCTAGTACTCCGTAAGAGCATACACACTATGCCAATAGCTTAAAGTACTAATAAGTATATAATACTTGTAAAAGCCTGATGAGTTATGCTTAGATTAAGTACGGATCGACGTCTGTACCTGTTCTATATTATAGCTATTAAATGTTAATAAATCGCGCTCTATTTCATTTTAAAGTAATAAGAAGAAGGATATACTAATGGTGAGCTTTTAGGGTAGACCTTAGATTTATTTGTTTAGGTATAGAGTTATAGTACTAGAAGAATGATCTAAAAAGAATGAGATCAAGTCATGTATTATTATAACTAAAGTTTGTTCTTAAGTTTAGATGATATAGTTAGGTTTTTGATATTAGTTACGAATGTTAATTGATAGAACAACTATAGTTATCAATAACGATTAATTATTTTAATAATAATTTAAGAAGATAAATATTAATCTCGGTATTAGTTAGTTAAATATCATGACTACGATTTTATTAGAACTCTACTATAAACCTTTAAACCTTTACTGAATTTTGTTTTGCTTTGATAATAAGGTATCTAGGGGCTAGGAAGATCGTGTTAGTACGAAGACTCCCGGCGATGTAGACCCACTACTTTAACACGCTCGGCAGATCTATATCCTCCGCAGACATGTCGCCGTGTCAGGGTTCGTGGACTAAATCTAGGATCTGCTCGGCACATCTGCCACCGGGGCGTAGGCGGGGTAGCTCCGCGTAAGAAGGTCACGAGGACTCCTAGCCCAGAATATTGCCGGTTGACAGAGCTGCTATTCGAGCCATCTGGATACATAAACTTGAGATATTTTCATTCGGTCTCTTCTTATCGTCCTCGTATGAAGGAATAAAGAGGCTATAGCGAAGGCCAGCTTACTCCAGGCTTGAAATCTTACCCCAGTTTCGGATACCGATCTACAATCGAGTCGATTAGCCTTGGGTCTCCCCCTCTTCATGGAGCGGAAACCATGGCGCGGCTTCAGGGTCTTTGTGCTACTTTGTTATGGTTCTATCAGGTTAACAACGTGATCTCTCAATGTTCAGGAGATTTTCAACCCATCTCAGCATCTGAGTTTACTGCTAAGCTTCAGCCCGGATGGAATTTAGGGAACACCCTCGATGCTTTCCCGAATGAAGACAGCTGGAACAACGTACCAGTGGTTGCAGGAACCTTTGATGATGTGAAGGCTTTCGGTTTCAACAGCGTCCGCATCCCAGGTATGTTCTTGACAGCCAGCCCTCCTGTAGGGCGACACCCGCCTCTTGTTAGCATATGCTTAAAGACACAATGTACCTTATTAATCATAACAGTCACTTGGATGAACCATTTCATCGGCTTTTCAGACCAGGGAGACTCTCCTGATTGGACAGTAGATCCTGAATGGCTCCAACGAGTTGCTAACGTCGTCGACATGGCCACGTCTCGGGACCTCTATGTCATCATTAATGTTCACCACGACTCGCACTTTTGGGCGGATCTGACAGTAGCAAACGCTAATTATAGCATGATAGAGGAGAAGTTCTACAGGCTCTGGTACCAAATTGGTACCAAACTCGCCTGTACCTCATCCCTCGTGGCATTTGAACCACTTAATGAGGCTCCTGGAGACACAGCCGAGATTGCGGCCGAGCAGAACAAGCTGAATAACATATTTCTTCAAGCAATCAACGACGCCGGCGGATTTAATTCAAAGCGTGTCGTTACACTAAGTGGGCCCGGCCAGGATATCGTTCGGACAAGCCTCTGGTTTGAGCCGCCTGACTCGAAGTACACGAATCCCTGGGCCCTCCAGGTGCATTACTACAACCCTTGTAAGTCATCACCGGTCTGCGCCTTTATTTGTGTACTATGCTACAAAGGCAAGCACTGTCTGACATGGATCAACTAGATGATTTTACGTCAGCCGCATGGGGAAAAACCATATGGGGCTCTAGTGTCGACCTTGCCGCATTCGAGACCGATTTTAGTCAGCTCCGCGACAACTTCACTGACGTCCCGATTGTTGTTGGCGAGTGGCTCGTGAGTCCGGTACATTCGGAGCCTGCAGCACGATGGAGATACTACGATATCATCGGACGACTCTCCAGAAAATACGACTTTGCTCCAATTGTGTGGGATACCGGCAACGATCTCTTGGATCGCAGTTCACACACCTGGTACGACGTAACCGGCCTCAACCTTCATTTCAATGCTTTAGCTGGCAATCTCAACGCTCTTCCCGACTCAACCCTGGACACTACGGCGACTAGTCAATTCAGCTCGGCGTTTGTTTTTCACAAGGTCGGAACCGCTGTCGAGAGCGTATCCCTCTCCTTCACATTCAACGGAGACTCCGTCAAGTCCATTACCACGGCGGACGGGGCCAGCCTCACGCTGAATTCGGACTACACCGTCAACGAGACTGATATCACGCTATCTGTATCATTCCTGTCCCACTACTTCGATGTTGCCGGCCCTCCGGGCATCAAGACCACGTTGTTGGTTTCTTTTGCCAGCGCGCCGAGCATCCCGATCCAAGTCGTGCAGTGGGATACGCCCACGCTCCCGTTGTCCAGCACTACGGCGACTTCGGCTAGTAACATCGACGTAGAAGTGAATTGGAACAGCGCCGGGAAGCCCGCGACAGTAGCAGCTTTTAAGAGCGATGGCACACCGTTAATGGACGAATGGACTGTGGTGTTGCCGCCTCTGCAGCGGGGGAGAACAACACTTGGCAGTGGTTGGGGCTGGAGTTGTGAGTTCTCTGACTCGAAGCACGTTCCGTCCAGGAAGTCTACTAACTTCAGTAGGGGGCCAGCAGGGAGTCACAATTGCTACGGCTGCTGTATCCGCCGCCATTCAATCGGGCATGACAACAACCTTTATGCTGGAGTCGTACCCTCGCGTTCTGGGCAACTATGCTAACTTCACTTTGTACGTTTGACAGAACTACTATCGGGCTTCTTACTCTTGTTATCAAATGGAAGAGAGAAACAAGAGCTTTGTAAATATTCTTAGTGGTACATCATGGATGACAGCACATAGCCAAGGCAACCGAGGTCCTCGTATGATGGATTAAGGTTTCTCAATTCAATGGACTCGACTAGATCATAACTCCAGTTCCAAGTGAACATTCTGTATCTCAGCACCCATGTCATCTGCATGCTAGTAGTGGGCGATTTGTAGGTTTCTTCTGCACTGCGCAAGCGTCCGTCCAAGGTTTCCTACCTCATTCACCTACATGTGCCCACGATTCTGTTGTCTGAGAATATGTGAAGGCTAAACCGTACCTTTCAAACTTGCTCTACGACTATTACATTGAGATATGTCTGACTTTCCATGGCACTGTTGCATGCATCAATACGTACGTAGAATGGATGGCTGCAACATTGGGTCTCATATTCTACAGAACATAGAGCTGCCCGAACTTTCAGCTGTGGGTCACCTTCCCCCTTTCACAATGCCTTAAGTTGAATGCTCACATACCAATCCGGGAACGATCCTTCCCAGTTGCTGGAAGTTCGGCGCAGGAGGCCGACCTCAATGAGTATGTCTGTCGTGGTCCTGAGGCAATCAAAACTGCGTAGATGACCGGCGCTGTACCAAAACCGCCAGGAAAGACGTAAAGCAAGGAGATCGTGTCGCCGTTAAAGCTCTTGAAGTGCCTGATACTGGCCGTCAAACTTAGCAGGGCTTCCCAAAGCTGCGAGTTTCCTTCGGGTGCCTCGCCCACACCTGAACCGATGAATACGTACGCTGCTAGCTAGAGAACCACGCCTCGGACTCTTTCGTCCCGATCATAGAATTAGAAGAACCTAGCGAGATTAAGGAGCAATCTTTTCACACCCTCTTCCCGGCAGATTGGAGCGGGGAAGGTGGGATATGTGAAGGTGATGACAGGTATATGAGTCCCAGCTGACAGGTTTCGTGGATTATTTACCCCGAGAAAGCGGGATTTTGGGCATTGGGAATTTATTTCAAGGGACTTGAAGCTGGGGAAAAGAGGGGTAAGGGATGCGATGTGACAGGCCAACAGACAGGGGCGATTCGGACGTTGTCTTAAGGGCAAGGCACATGAGAGCCGGGAGTGTATCCAGTAGAGATGGGAATTCGGCCCTGTAATAATGTACTAAACGTCAATATAATTCAGTGACTTTGTTCGTCTCGACTGCCTTCTACTTCTAATTAGATAAAATGTGTTGGTAATATATTTAAAGAAAAGCAGGAACTGGGCTGGGTACGCATAATCTATAAATTTTAGTCATTCTGTTCTTTAACGATATAATATCGCATAACCTTATAATTTAAAGTGTTTCTTAGTTAACTTATTAAGATCTATAAATAAAAGAATATAAGTATAGTTTTAAAGAGGAAAAGAAATATAAAAAAGTATTTATAATAAGACAACTTAATATTTAATATATTAACGTAGTTATATAAAGATAATTTCACAAGCTTATATTATAATTAAATAGAGATTTTAAAAAACAATGAGTTGATTAATTAAAAACAAGAGCGTATATTTAGAATACCTTTATTTATTTATATTAACGTAGATAGTTTTTTAGGCTAAGTAAAGTTAAGTATATTAATTCTTTAAAACTCTATATAATTATATTAACTCTTTATATTATCTTATCAACATTTTTAAAACACTAATCTTATTATATAGATGCTTCTTATAATTATTTAAATATATTAAATAACTAATAATTATAACTCTTGAGTTAATTAATTTCTAATTTAAAGATGAATCTAAATTAGTTATAGAACATATAAGTTTAACCTTGTGTAATAATTATTAATAAACTTTTAAATTATTAGTTAAAGACTGCTCTTTGAAATATAATTAAAAAGTAAGCAGCTTTCCTCACTAAATAGCTTGCTCATTAGCTACATTATTGATATTAACTAGTTACTTATTAAGTATTCTTTAATAAGATTAATTCTGTGTAAGTACCGGTATATGATATTCTCTGGTCACGTATATCAGACACAGACAAACCGGCATAACTTATCTTAAGTAGGGTGGTGAGCGACCTGTCCTGTATGACTTATGGCTTACTGGAGGGAAGAGAGGTCAGCTGCCTGAATGGACCAAGCAAAGCCCACCGTAGCAGCGCCCAGGGTCCTCAAAGCAGACCAAGGCATAACGAGGTGGCAACATAAGCCCCAAGGCGACCTACGACGGGGCAAATCTATACAGGTCAAGATTGGAGTTTGTGGGGAGGATGCGCGTTAAGCTATGCCGCCTGGCTTTTTTACTGCTTTGGCGTCCGCAGTTGCAACACCTGCAGACTAGCGTACAGAGACCCATGGTTCCTGTGTCATGTGTCATGGCACGCAGTGTTAGAAGTACGTCACCTACCGCCCGACTTCGGGCGGAGATGTCTTCTCGGGGCAAGTGCGGCCGATATGATCCATGGATAACGAAGACTTACAAGAGCAATGACTATACTGACGAACCTCTATATGAAAGGCTCGCAGGCGGCATAGATAGCCTCATTAATCAACCCGAACATCTTGTAGTCTATCCTCTTCACAAGTATGAGGCTTGGCGGCTTGCTTCTGTATGCCATCACGGCGGCGGCCACGGTCATTCAGTCTGATGCCCACTTTTATGGGGAGAGCCCGCCTGTCTACCCAGCTCGTACGTCAGGACCAGCATTTAGAGGTTGTCTATGCTAATCAGGAGGACGTTAGCCAATATGACGGGGGCTGGAGATTGGGCAGACGCTTATGGGAAAGCCAAAGCTCTCATTGCGGAGATGACTCTAGACGAGAAAGTGCGTATGTTGCGAGGCAGTATCGCAACACCCTAAACATCAGAAGCGAGATCCGAGAAAACATTTAACTGGTTACCGTAGTCCAATTTGACATACGGTGTCTCTAGCACACATAATGGATGCTCCGGTAACATTCCAGGCGTTTCTCGCCTTGGATTTCCGGGTCTTTGTCTCCAAGATGCCGGAAACGGTGTTCGGGGCACTGACATGGTGAACAGCTATCCCGCGGGCATCACTGTTGGCGCAAGGTAAGAAAGCCCCTTCACGATTCTGAGAGATGCTGACCGGACCAGCTGGAACAAAGAGCTTACCAAGCTGAGAGGTCATTACCTTGGAGGAGAGTTCCGCACCAAAGGCGTGAACGTGGCTCTAGGGCCTGGTACAACATCCTGACGTCGGATATTAAGACTAGCGCTGACTCGATAATAGCTGTTGGACCGTTGGGTAGGATAGCTCTTGGCGGTCGGAATTGGGAGGTGTTTTCCAACGACCCTTACCTCTGCGGTTCGCTCGCGGCCGAGACCATCACTGGCATTCAGGGGCAAGGGGTCATGGTGAGCGTCAAGCATTTCATTGGCAACGAACAGGAGACAAATAGAAGCCCCCTCGAGGGGTCCGAACCCCCGGTCGAGGCGGTGTCGTCTAACATTGACGACAAGACCCTCCACGAGCTTTATCTCTGGTGTGTATGGCTGCTGTGATTCCCCCCACCATTTCGGAAACTGACCAAGAATGAAGGCCATTCCAGGATGCCATGAAGGCTGGTGCGGCGAATGTAATGTGCAGGTATAGACCACCGCTAACCCTTGGGGTGTTTCAAGTTAATTTGAATCCAGTTACAACCGTGTAAACAACTCGTATGCCTGCGCGAACAGTAAGCTACTCAATGGGGTGCTCAAGACGGAACTCGGATTTCAGGGCTTCACCGTCAGTGACTGGGATGCCCAGCGTATGTTGAACCCGTTCCCCTTCCTTAAAAACCGCTGACTTTAAAAAGACTCAGGAGTCGCGAGTGCTCTCGCCGGCCTCGACATGGCCATGCCTGGTTCCGTATATTGGGGCGCCAATCTTACCACAGCAATCCAGAATGGCTCTGTGCCGGAATCACGATTGGATGACATGGCTACAAGGTAAGCTAGTCCGGATCTCTGTGTTTGAGCTTGAGCCAATACTCAATAGAATAGTTGCATCGTGGTATTATTTAAGTCAAAACGAAGGTTACCCAGATCCAGGCATTGGGATACCATTCGAAATCAGAGGGCCACATAAGCGAATCAATGCCAGAGACCCCAATGCGGTTCCGGTTCTCTTCCAGGGGGCAACCGAAGGGCACGTACTCGTGAAGAATCTAGATGCTCTGCCATTGAAGGGGCCGCAAGTTGTGTCAGTCTTTGGTTATTCCGCCACTACCTATCAGGCCTGGGGTCCCGTGCAGGGGATGGACATGCTCAAGTGGCTTCTTGGACAGACTAATGCGAATCTGACGGAGCTTCTGCTCGCCTCCCGCTCTCAGGATCTGAGATCATCGGCCATCGCGATAAACGGCACCATCTTCACGGGCGGCGGCTCAGGCTCGACCACTCCAGGCTGGATATATAGCCCGCTAGACGCGCTGACGCAGCGCGCCATGAAGGATGGTACGGATCTGCTTTGGGACACGGCCAGCCCAGCCCCGTCCGTGTCCGAATCCGACGCTTGTCTGGTGTTCATCAACGCCTGGGCCACGGAGACACTGGACAGATCCGCGCTCTACGACGATTACTCGGACGGGCTCGTCAATTCGGTGGCGGACCAGTGCAGCAACACCATCGTCGTCATTCACAACGCAGGCATCCGCCTCGTGGACGGGTTCGTTGACCATCCAAATGTCACCGCCATCATCTACGCTCATCTACCCGGCCAAAGCTCCGGAGAGGCCACCATAGCCCTGCTATATGGCGACGAGAACTTCTCGGGGAAGCTGCCTTATACCGTCGCCCGGCAGCCAAGCGACTATGGCGACCTCCTCGATCCGGACCTACCGGAGGGCAGTTTCACGCTCTTCCCGCAAAGTGATTTCGATGAGGGTACAACCATCGACTATCGCGCCTTTGACGCGTTCAACATCACGCCACGGTATGAGTTCGGCTTCGGCATGTCGTACACAACGTTCGAGTACGCCGACCTGTCGATTTCCTGCCGGGATGGACTGTCTCACGATGAATATCCTTCGGGGCCTATTGAGCAGGGTGGCCATCTTGACCTCTGGGACAACCTCGGCGATGTCCAATTCCGTATCAAGAATACTGGCGGTGTCGCTGGCCAGGAAATTAGTCAGCTTTATCTCGACGGAACGGACAGCCTCAAACACTTACGCGGATTTGAGAAAGTAGCTTTGGAGCCGGGACAGACTGAGACGGTGACGTTGTCGTTGACGCGGAGAGACTTGAGCGAGTGGGACACTGTTAGCCAGAACTGGAAGCTGCGGACTGGGAGGATCAGGTTATGGGTGGGGGCCAGCTCTAGGGATATCCGATTGGAAGGTTTCTTGGAGTTGTAGAGTGTACATAGCAGTAGCCAATCCAATTAACTTCTGTATACCTGGGCCCGGGCTGAGTCTATGATGGAAACGTAGTCCTACGGCACGAAGATTTGATGTTCCCCAACCTCGTTAGCCATGCGAGGATGGAGTCTGCCGGAGTCGCTCCGCTTTTGGAGTGTTGAGGGAAAGCAAGCTCTGAATGTATATACATCTGCAAACCCACCTTTTTGACACGGTACATGTTCATGTACTCGGAGTTGCCTTCTCTTTTTGCAAGGCCTGCCAATAATACCATCGATCTGGACTAGCCGTTCCGATGAGACGACCGAGATTAGATGTACTTTTGACTTGCTACAGGCTTGTCTCAAGACAAGCATCCTTACAATGAGTAACACGCCCTTCAGGTATTTCCAGTCCACACCTTTCATTTCTGCGCTGAGAGAGCCACAAGGTTCGCAGGCACTGCCGCGAGAATTTACCGTATAACACTGGGGTATTCTTGCGCGTAATGTTATTAATTACCGGTACATCCCCTCGCCTTCTTGTCTATGGTTCTAGCTGGTGTCAACAGCTCCACCAGGCACCATCATGTCAGAAGCCGCCAATGTTCTTGTAGTGGGTTGCGGTGCGGTCGGCACCATGTGTGCCTATGCCCTGCACAAATCCAAGGCGGCCACCGTCACGGGAGTTTTCCGCTCGAACTTTGAGGAGGTGCAGCGTCTAGGACTCTGTATCAGAAGCGTCGACCACGGAACGGTATTAGACTGGAAGCCTCATCACGGTAAGAGTTCAGCAGTGTACCCGTTAGATTATCAGGAAGACCTAAATACCGGTTGCGCGGCGTCTAGTGGAAAGGAACATATCGGACGCGGCAAGGCACGGCCCGTTCGACTACGTTCTTGTGGCGATGAAAAGCCTGCCCGACATCTATTCTATCCCGGATCTTATTGCCTTGGCCGTCACGCCGGGCCGGACATCCATCGTGCTCGTCCAGAACGGAATCGACATAGAATGGCCCTTCGTCGACGCGTTCCCTGAAAATGTCGTGCTCTCGGGTGTCACTATGATCGGGTGCGAGCTCAATGGCCGCGAGGTCCTGCACAATGACCCAGATAAGCTGCACCTCGCCCCCTTTCCGAGCCCAGGTCTTCACCGGCGGAGGCAGGAGGACGCGTGCAGCACCTTTGCGGCACTCTACACGCTCGGTGGCGTTGCCTGCGAGATCCACGAAGACATTGTGCGGCGACGATGGATGAAGCTCGTGTGGAATGCCTCGTTCAACCCAGTGTGCGCCATCACTGGACTGGACTCTGGTGCGGTCCAAGCCGCCGGGTACATCGACACCTTGGTACGTCCAGTTATGGATGAGGTCGTAGCTATCGCGGAGGCCGCTGGTTATGGGCTCCAGCCCGGCATTCAGGATGAGATGATTTCGTTCACACCTGAAGCGATTGGACTCAAACCGAGCATGCAGGTTGACGCGATGATGGACAGGCCGATGGAGGTGGAGGTTATTCTTGGCAACCCGCTGCGGATCGCGCAGGAGCTAAAAGTTGAGGCCCCGGTCTTGACGATCCTATGTAATCTTCTTCGCGCCAGACAGTGGAAGTACAAACAACGAACATGAGTTGATGACATGACTCAAGATGAGTTATTTTTGAACGAGAATTAGAAATTCAAGGCCAATCGGTGTTGCATCACGTTTGAGACCTAATTTCCATTGTTTCTCGCTATGGGTTTGCTTCTTGTCTTACCATCTGTGAACAACCTCTCGATCAAAGGTGGTATCGTCATATCCGGCTTCGTACATCTGTCTGGTCAGGTCCTCCTCGTGTAAGATTTCATTGATGACCTTGGCGTCAGTAATGGCCCAATAACTTTCGCAGGCCTCTGCGAATGCTCGCGACTTGGCCTCTAGGATGCTCTCCTCCACCGCTGCGAAGCAGAAGCGGAAGAAAACGTACCCCAGGTCCCTCTTGATGGTTTGGTTGGCTGCAAAATCCCCGCCCGGGACGACCAGTATGCGATATGGGTGCTGGGTGCAGTGAACCCACAACCCCTGCATTAATCGGCGCGGGTTGATAGAGGTTAGCGGGTGACTGCCGATGTTCACCTTGACCCAGATAAACATGCCACCCGCGGGCCGCTGGAACGAGAACATCTCAGTCTGAACTCCGCCTATCCCCAAGAACCTATTCTCTTCCAAGATTGCAGCCATCTTCTCCATCCGGCGTTGATAGGTGAATCGCAAGCCCTCAAGCCAATTAATCCAGCCGCCCACCCCCCAGCCGCCGGGTTTCTGCACCGAAATCGCGGTCTCAGCGGGGCCGTCCCTACCGAAATCACCAATCAACTGCGTGACGATGGCCTGCACGAAGCCGGAGGGTTGCTGGGTGGTGCCGTCCGTGATCCTAAAGAGCTTCTCGCACACACTCGGCTGCGCTGTGACCCATCCAAGCCTGCAACCGGGCGCGACGGTCTTGGAGAAGGAGTCGAGTCGTATGACGCGGCCGTCATTATCAAGGCTCAAAAAGCTCGGGACGAGCTCGTCGAGGAAAGCGTAGCCTGTCGACTTGCCCCGCAGGTCGTGTACGCAGTAGTTATGGTTCGGGTCTTTAGGGAAGTTGGGCGTGGTGGATGTTGATGGATAGTACAGGTTCCAGTACGGGTCGTCTTCGACGATGACGAGGTCGAACCGCGAGCAGATATCATAGATTTCCCTCCGCCGTGGCAGAGAAAGTACTCCGGATGTCGGGTTTTGGCCGGTTCTGGTTCCCTGTTAGCTAGTCGTCATAGGATGAGGTCGCCGGCAGCATGCTCACGGAACAAGATAAACAACATGTGGCCTCTTCCCTAATTCGCAATCCCACGTCTCAAGGACATGGCAGAGACTTCCCGTACCATATGCCAGCATTCCCTCGGTGTCCATTTTGACCGGTACGATGTTCACATCCTTGGGCTTGAGCTGAGCGATTGGAGGCCCATACACAAATTCTTCCACGATCAAGCCCTCGCGATTCCGCGCATCACCAGAAGTTTTATCCCAAGGATTGAATAAGAGTTCAAAGACCTTGAAAAGCCCATCCGCCGATCCACCATTGACGATAATGTCAGCGCCGCCGTCATACGGAATGTTCGGGTGGTAAATAGTAGTGGTAAGCTTCCTCAACCAGGCATAGAGCGGGGGAAAGCCCGAGGCGCTTCCATATTGGAGCGCGGTGGTCAAGTCAACGTTGCGGACGGACCCCAGCTCGTCCCCGCGTCGAGGGATGCGTAGTTGGGGTGTCTGCCCCCCTGCCGCCTCAGAATATTTCGAGGGACCAAGTGAGTCCGGGTTGGATAGCGAAAGATCCACGTTGTTGAAAGGGAAGTAACTTGGACTGGGGAGGCCTGAAGATTACAGTCAACACTCTGCACCATTTTGGTACACATAGGCACATCATTGCCGCCGAGACATACCACCGGCCAAATTTCCCATCTCTGGTATCCGAAGATACTTGTAGTACTCCTTGAGTACATTCGGCGCCCTCTTCTTTGACGTTTGGGAGAAGTGATGCTCGAGATCTGTGGGTTTAGGGCGTGCGGACGACATGGTTTGTTTGCGAAGATGGCCAATGAAGCTGGGCTGTGTGACTTGTCCCTCAATAATGTGTCTGGATTTTCAGGCGTTGCTTCTTATAGCAGAGCTGGCAGGCTAGCCATGAACAGCCAACCAGGCCGCAATGGTCAGCCAGACGCCGCTTCCCTTAGCGGGCCTTACCCATCGTTGTTCCTGGAAGACCATGCGGATTTCTTCTTCCTCTGGCCTGGCGGCGCTGTTGTGAGATTGGAGGTGGCTGGCTGGCGCTAGCCGTTGGCGCTTTGATTTGGTCGAGCAGTTGTGGAGATCGTTCGCAGTTGACTTCCCTTAGCAGTACAGATATTTCGCACCTGGGTTCGCCCCCAGACGGCAGTTATCTCCTAGTGAAATGGCCAGCTCCGGTTGTGAAGACGACAGGGACCAGGAAGCTGTACTTTGAGACCCACTGACACACAAGGGTCACCGTCCAAATCAAACAGCTCTCATCTTCGTCAAATGCTATGCCACTTTGCACTTATGGTACATTCTTATGGGGAATGTTGATTCGTGGGTTTCAGACGTATTGTTGCGTGTGTAAATCGACCCCGGAATCATGGACAGGCTGTTATGGCTCGGAGATACTTGCCCGAATTTCAGACCTGCGAATGTCCTCATTCGTTTGAATGGGCACCGATGCGATTTGAAACTAGTCAGATAACACGTTCGAAAGCTTTGAAGAGGTATTCATAACCTCCTCATGGTCTTTCGTGCCTGCATGGGATGAGTTCTCGTATAGTACCTGACATGAACTTTCGACCTTCTCGAATCGCCATCTGCCCTCCTTTGCACATCATCGGCACACCAGCCTTAGACTTGCTCATTCTAGCTCGATAGCTAACATGGCGCAGACGGTCACAACAACAAGAATTGCCTCACGAGTACCACTGACTTCCAGGATGTCCACCACCTTGGATGAGGATGCTCAAGTTGTTCGGAAGTCCGTCGGACTGCGCCGCGTGGATGCCACATTCATGAATGGCCTCTCAACTCTCAATGGAGAGGGTGCTACCATCGGACGAGGCTTTCCAATTGAAGGTATCCCGACATTCGTGGATCCCTACAAGGCACGGCAATGGGCATTGGAGCATATGGCTGGAGCTTTTAGGGTCATGGCACGGAAAGGTTACCTCGAGGGTACTGCCGGACACATATCTGTCCGGGATCCCGTCGACCCTGACACATTCTGGATCAACCCGTAATTATCTAGGACTCCGGCCGCGGCGTACATGTCGCTGATTTCTGCACAGTCTAGCCCGACATTTTGCAATGATGAGAGTTAGCGACCTTGTTCAGGTAAATATGAATGGAGAGGTCATAGGTGGAAACAAGGTGAGAGGCCTTATTGATCTATGGAAATGCCTTGCTAATTCAGCACAGGCTTGTATTAATAATGCCGGCTTCACTATTCATTCAGCTCTCCACGCCGCCCGACCAGACGTGAACGCTGCCTGCCATTTCCACAGTATCCACGGGAAGGCCTGGTCTTGTTTCAACCGACCCCTGGAGATGCTGAACCAGGATGCCTGCACCTTTTACAATGACCATGCTGTTTACGATACATTCGGCGGTATCGCTTTTGAAGGTGAAGAAGGCAGGCGAATCGCAGGTGCTCTGGGCGATAAACGGTGCGCGATTCTCAAGAATCATGGGCTTCTGACGACAGGGAGCACTGTCGACGAGGCAGCGTTCCTCTTCACGCTAATGGAGAATACCTGTCGGGCACAGTTGCTCGCCGAGGCTGCCTCGGCTTCTGGGATTCGAAAGCACATATGTCCTCATGAAGAGGCAGAGTACACATACAGACTCACAACGCCAGAATCCATGTGGTTGGAATTCCAACCCGACTACGAATACGAGTTGCAGGAATCGGGTGGGAGCTTGTTGAATTAGGAAATAAAAGGACTCTCAGCGCTTCACATTTGCTCTCGCTCATGTTGCATGCTTTTCGCAGGATAATCTAGCGTACTAGGCATCCGTCAACTTGCCGCTGTTTATTCCTTCGTGATTTTTCGACCAGGCACCAATACTGAAAAGCAGTTCGGGTAGTCAGACACAGCCGATATTAGTGTGGTATGCAAATTATCAAAGATCAGGCCGTGAACAGTCCCTCTGTCACGGAATAGAATGGTATCAGCACTCGCTGGGCATTCTGCCACGTACCTTCTCGCGTGGATCTTACATTCGTTCAGTACGTAGACTGCTCTCTTTTTTGCGCTCGAGATGGGTTCGCAGAAGCCACTTTTAGCCCACAAACGCCCATTGCTGTGTACCATAACTCGTGACACTCTGAGCGTGTTCTCCCTCCAGCCTGTACTGGGAGATGGGTCCCTATATGCCATCCGACTGCAGTAATACACAGTAATTGAAGCTGAGGATATTCTTAGCTTGTTGCCTCGGAATGACCCGTACTGGATACATTGTTGCTGCTAAGGAGATAATGTGCCTTCCCAGGGCCAAGTACTGAGTGCATCATCCAAGATAAGACCGGACCAGAGGCACATCGCTGGAATCTTGGAAACCCCGCATGCTGTGTGCTGCCCTTCTTTGACATCTCTAGTTGCCTGGAATGCAGCTCTGCGCCACTGGCAGCATTGGTCTATTTCGCCTCCATTCCTTCAATTTCAAGTTCCGATTTGAAGTTCCGATTGTGATAGATGTATAGCTTGAATACTTGCAGCCATCAACCCCGAGGTGATGGACTTTACAACATCTTCTGCCTCGTGCCGACGCTCGTTTGTGTGATCAATGTATTCTTCGGCTCCCCGAGATCATTAAAATTTTTGTTCTCCCAATTCATTGAAAAGATCGTTACCTCCGACCAAATGCATAAAACTCCAGACCCCGGCTTTGGGATCGCCATATTAACCAACAAATTAGTACTTGAAGGGTAAACTACAAACTGGCTGCGCACCAAATACGACAGAAACAGCCCCCCGACATGTCCAGCCCAAGGTGATCGGCGGCTCCATCGGCACTGAGCTCTTGCTCACTGAGATGGGGCCGTTGTCTCTCTTCCTGTGATGCCGCATCTGGGTCATTCTCGTTATTTGGCCACGTAATGTATGCGTGGCTAGGATGTATGCCTATCCTCCCACCCGCGGCTCCATTTTCGAGCTTGCGAGCTGTTACCTACGTCTACCTGACTCTGGGCTTTCCTATGGGCTGGGCATTCCCCCTTGCCGCAACGATGCTAGTTTGTGTTGCGTACAGCGCTGTGGCGACCGCCATGTAGTACTGGAATCTCAGGATCAACCCGGCCGTATGGATAGCTGTATGCGTGGTGGTCTGTATCTTTTCAATGTGTTCTTCGTTAGGTGAGGACCTGTTAATTTGCCTCGGCAGAGTACGCTCATCCTCACTTTCCATTACCTTACAGGTAATTAGGCGAATCCGAATTTTGCATTGCGTCAGCCAAGATCATTCTTACTATCTGCCTTGTCCAGCTTACCCTGATCATCATTTGTGGGACAAAAAACTCACATCACGATGACTAAGGCTTCCGCCATCAGGGCAACGGGAGCGTGATGACCCCTTAGTATACAGATGGGGCCACGGGCTGTTTCCTAGGTCTGTACTCATTCTTTACGTGGCCTTTACGATCGCCGGCGCCGGATTGCGCTAGCGTACAGTGAGAGCCAGAACTCGGGCAGGGCAATCCTGCTGGTGGCCAAGCTTATCTTCTACCATTCGTAGGGTTCTACGGCGTACATCATCGGTGTCCTGGCCGTCGGCTTCGTCTGCGGCGCCACGGACCCCCTGAAAATGAGCGCTATCAATTCTGCACGAGGTACCAAAGTTCCCCCAACCCCCTACTGCGACACGCAACCACTTCAGGATTGATAGATCAGTGCCGACCCGCCGCCAGACGGCCGCGCTTGTGCCCAGTCATATGAATTAGATATGGGGTTCATAATTCAATTTTCCTTATCTTTCGCCCTATTTTTGACAAACATTTAATAGATTTAGGTGATTCCCTGTTACGGAAGTTAGTAACAATTTGTATATAATGCTATTGGCTGAACTTTTGGGTCGGGACCCATTTTAATTCCCGAGGTCCGGATCTGAGCAGTCCCTTTTTATTTTCCACCTTCGACATATAATAGGTATTTTTTACGCCTATCTTACTGGGGAGTATTGTATCAAATATATGACGGTTACAAATAAACATTTCATTATTAGATTCTCTAAAAACCATGTATTTAATTGCTGGCTTGATTGTTATTATTGATTGATTTTCATAGGTATAGGCACTGCCAGACGGCCAAGCGCTCAATAAATTACTAACCTGCATCAAGGAGGGTGTGCCTATATACTTCTCCGCCATCGTTAGCCTTTACTCACTGCGTCAAATTCCTCGTGTAGTCAAACCTGGCTGCGAATGTCCTGTTTTGGTTTGTGGACCTCGCCACTACGTGTGTCGCCGCGTACACCGGTGCATGCCTGTTGTCTATGTTAGCCGGTACCGTGCTGGCACCGCCCAAGGCCTGCCCGACTAAGCTCCCTTATACAGGCTCCTTGATGCCTTTCTGCCCATTTCTTGCGATTTTTCTAGGCTGCGCTGGCGTTCTATTTGCCAGATCCCGATACACTCGTCGCCTTCAATCTTCAGGGGTTCAAAGAATATGGTAGCAACCGAGGAAAGGGGAACACCCGCGTGTAGTGGGGCTGTGCTCACTCGAATAGGCTCTGCCGACCGTAGAGTCTGTACCTGTTTAACTGGCTTTCATTACTTAGAAGACGTGTCCAAATCTGTACATCTGGGAGACCTCGTATTGCAAGATTCTCCCATGTTAATTTCCCTATTCGCCTTATCTCAGTGAGTCTTTTCCTTGTCTTTCACTACTTCAGCGCGTCTAGGATCACATTGCCTGCTTGCGTTGTGGGCCGTAACATCCATCTCCCAAAACCGCTTTGACGAGTGACATGGGGTTATCATGGGTCACGCGAAGGAACCATGTGGGAAATATTCGGCAGAGGTTCGATTTCGCTAACCAACTCTACTCAATGTGAATAGCCACAGGGCCGCTAAGCCTGTTATCGTCGGAGCTGTCACCAACAAAAATCTCATATCCACCTGAGTCAACTCTGTACTCTCCTTCCAACCAGTAACCCAGTTCGGCAACGCGAATTTCAACTCCAACATCAATCGATGAACCGGAAGGCACATCAACCTTCGAAAACCCAATCAGTCGTTTTACTGGAAGCGACAGAGGGGCAACCTGCTGCCTGAAGTACACCTGAACAACTTGCTTCCCATCTACAGACCCGGTGTTGGAGACGGTCACACTTAATTTGATAGTATCGGTCTTGCTATAAGTCGTCTTGTCGAGACTAGGACTGCTGAGGTTGAAAGTAGTGTAACTGAGTCCGTGACCAAAGGGGTAAAGATAGTTGTGTGAGAGATACGGGAATTGAATAGCCCCTGCAGCCTGCCAGTCACTGGGTTCGTGGTTGTAGTAAACCGGATTAACCTCTGAATAGGCAGGGAATGAGATGGTGAGTTTGCCGCTGGGGTTTGTTTTCCCAATCAAGATATCGGCTAGCGCGCGTCCTGAAAACTCGCCGCCGAGGAAGGTGTGCAAGATGGCTTGGGAATCCTGAGCAACGCCCGACAGCTCGAACGCCTGACCACCGCTAAGGACGATGATAGTGGGGACACCAGATCCAATCACAGCGCTCAATAGATCCCCCTGAAGTCCAGGAAATTTCAGAGACGCATGAGTGAGTCCTTCTCCATCTGTTCGCTCATTGACAAGACTGTCCTCGTAGCCCACCGCGACAGAACCAATGACAACGATAGCTATGCCTGCGTCCTTAGCCGCTGCGACGGCCTCGTCAATACTTGAGTTCTCTTCCGAAGTAATCTCAACGCCTTTGACATGTTTGACGTTGTCGGAACCAAGGGTCGCCGTAATTGCATCCAAGAAAGTGAGGTTTCCATTCTCGGCATTTGTCCATGCAGCATAGGTGCCAGTATTGACAACATCAGCAAGGGGACCCAAAACAGCCACTTTCTGGTTTGCAGATAGAGGAAGTATGCCATCATTCTTCAGCAGAACGATGGATTCGCTCGTGATGCGCTCGTTGGCTTCCAGGTGCTCCTCGGACCTCAGTACCTCAGTCAGGGCAGTGGTGTTCGCCGAGAGGTCCCTGTCGAAGAGGCCCAATTCAAACTTCAGGTTGAGAAGACGCGACACTGCCTCGTTCACATTTCCAGCCACGCCCTCAACTGTTTGATTGCCGGAGAGAGACTCGAAGGCCGTGGGAAATCGGATCGCAAGTTCGAGTTCCACGCCAGCCTCCAAGCATTGAATTCCGGCGTCATTGAGCGTGCTGGCCGTCTTGTGGGTGTCGTAAAGCATGACAATGGCGTCTGCGTCAGATACTATAACGCCATTATACCCGAGTTGTTGGCGGAGTAGATCTTGTAATAGGAATTTGTGCTGGTGGGCGGGGACGCCATCGATGGTGGCATAAGACGGCATCAGCGAGGCCGGAGTGACCTTTTGGAGAACATTGATGTATGGGAGCGCTAGAATATTGTAAATGTGGTTCTTGCCGCCAAGGATTGAGCCCTGGTTAACGCCACCAGTAGATGTACCAAAGACGTAGTGTTTGATCGTAGTGGCCACTTTCATGAATCCGTCGGAGTCCTTTTCTTGGACGGTACCGATGTAGGCCGCGGCAAGTTCACCGTTCATCCAGGGGTCTTCGCCGTACCTTTTAACAATCAGCCAGGGGATCTTCGGAGAGCTTCTTCAAAAAGGGAATCAAAACAAAAGAGAATAAGGTGAAAGATAATAGAAAATAACGCAAAGAAAACGGGCTATGCACTCACATTTCACCAACGCGACCGTTTCTCGGATCACGCGCAACGTCTACCTCAGGTG